ATCATCATCATCATCATCATCATCATCATCATCATCAAAATGTGTCATCAAACAAATCGTTTTATGATCGTATCGATTGTTAGCAATGATGGTGACAATGATCATGATCATGATCATGATCATGATATGATATGATATGATACATTCCATACTACAAGCTATCAAGATGATCATCGATCCCGATAGTTTGTAGTATGGAATGTATCATCATTCTTTGCATGCGGTGTTTGTTCTAAAACCCATAAAAGATTATTGTTTGAAAGTTCTTCATTTCGGTTTGAATAATGTATGAATCAAGTAACACTTCATTGATTATTATAAATATCCGAGTTATATCGTGCAAATATATGCATCCATTGTTTTGCAGTACTAAAATGATGCAAGTAATATATACTTGTAGCATATATTCCATACACTAAGCTATCGGGATCATCATACATTCCATATCAAAAAGCTATTCGGGATCATTATACATCCAGTAATTTTGAGATGATGATATATTCGGTAGACGGGATGATGATTCATTCGGTAATCGAGATGATGATATATTCGATAATCGGGATGCTGATATATTCGATAATTGGGTTGATGATACATTCGGTAGCTACTAATGAATATGAATGGGATCTTTCATTGGGGGTGAGGTTATGATCCCTACAGAGATGATGATCATCTGCATAATCCAATTGACCCTGAATTGCGCGACACCATTTCAATTACCCTCATTTATCCTTACATTTTTATCGTCTCCCTACTAACTGGAATTAAATATTTAAAAAATTATAATGGAATTAAATTTTTTAGCGAAGTATTAGAGTTAAATGATTTCGGTGGCAAGCACTATCATCGATTTTTGACGTTTCAATAAGAGAGATTTCGAAGAGAATACTATGGATGGATGTATGTTTTGATGTATTAATAAAAGGCGGAGTGGGATAACACGGATGAATTGAAATAATTAATTCAAATTAATTTCAAGTAATAAATTAACTGAATTTTTTAGGAAATCTCATCAATCATGGCATTAAATGATCATGGGATTTGATATGACATTTATATATTTCGGAAAGCTTCGAGTAATCACAAAGATATTGTTCCGAATTATTAGACATCAATAGCCAGGCTAATAAATTGCCAGCCATAAGGCTAAACAAATCAATTCTAAGTACATAAATTTGTATCATTCGCAAACTGTAAAAGTGAGTATGTAAGTATTTCTTTTGTTAATTTAATATTTAAAAATAAAAAACACTATTAAATTGTAAATAAACATTATCATATTATACAAATGAAATCGAAAAATGAGAAAAAGCATTGTTTGCTTCGCTTAAGCTGCATAATTTTGCATATTAAATGTCTTTTCTATGTTTTTCGTCGGATCGATACAACATTAATTATTTATTATTATTGTTGCTGTTATTGCTGTTATTGTCATTTTTGTCACTGTTATTGTTATTGCTGTTGTTACCGTTGTTATTGTTATTGCTGTTTGAAATTGAAGCGATGTTACAAATGTTGACGTCGAATTCATTTCATTTCAATATTTTTGCTTTAAAATAATTTTTGATAAATTCTTCAGTTCTATTTTTGTTATTCAAGAGATGATGAATTGCACACATTCAATGTCACTACGAACATCCGAAAGATTTTCAAAACAAATCTTTCTTTTTTCAAAAAAAAAAAAAGATAATGATCCTTTCGTACATTAGCACTTTTCTCTTCTTTTATGAAAAAGATTTAAAAAAATTCTTTGAAAGCTATTTATAAATTGAAAAATTTTCTTAGAGCTTTGTTGACAACTTTCTTGATATCCATTAATAACTCTATGACAAAAAAAAAAAATGTAACTAAATTTTTTCCCATATAATGTAGTAAAATGTGATAAATTTTTAAAAAAAAAAAATCAGAAAAAAAATTTTGGAAATTTAAATTTGTATGAAGAATAATATGATAGCCATTCTCTGATCATTTCATTTTTTTTTTCTTTCGCTTTAATTTTAGGAAGAATCCTATATAATTCTCAATACTTTTCAGTGCAATTTACTCATCACCTGTCCTTTTATTCTTTTTGCATACAACTCTCTCATTGCATCATTTGACAAATTTTGATACCCGTCATAAATTTATAAAATATCAGTCAAAAATTTGGGTCACTTAATGATAAGATCATCATGAATCTTTCAATTTATATGCATGTATATCTGTCTATAAATGTAATACTATCACATAGCAATATCATTTTACGGATATTCTCCATCTTACATTTATTCTCTGTCCCCATTTAAAATAAATGCATTCATTGTCATCTTTAAAATATCTTAAATTGCATCCCATTTAAAAGATTACTGCTATTTTGCTTGACCTTACCAATAATCGGTTTACAATTATGAATTTAGATCCAAAGGTGGAATTAGAAGTGCACAGGTATTCATTTTAGTAGATATCTAATTAATTTGTATAAATTAACCCACAAAAATATTGTATTTTTTTTTTGATTAAATTTTTTTTTTTTTGAAATAATTTTTCAAAGTTTATTTTAATTTTAAGGCAATTTCGATATGTAGCAATTGGTGCAATAACAATATCAATATTTTCTGTTTCATTGGCAATTTTAACAGTACCGCTTCTCTATAGCTATGCGCATCATTTACATTCAAAAGTTTTGGATGGAATAGATTTTTGTAAAGTAAGGTATTTTATTCGTAGAATTTATTAATTATGGAAAGTTTATTTTGATAATTATACACTTTTTTATTGTTTTTCAGATGAATTCTCGAGATATGTGGTCCCAAATGTATGCTATTCAAAATCGACATCAAATAAGACGTGAAAAACGTGGTTGGTTGTTTGGAGAATGGCGTGATGATGGTATTGGTGATGCAGGTGGAAATGGCGCTTATGGTGCACCTGCAGCAGCGGTTTTTATTTTCGTGTTTTCAAAAAAAAAAAGAAAAAAAAAATTAGAATATTGATTTGAATTTTGAGAGAAATTGTTAGAAAAAAAGATTGATGAATTTAATTGAAATTAGAAATCTTAGCCTGTATATGAACCACCAGCAGCACCAGATTCAGAAAAGGGAGTAGTAATACAAATGATGCGCTGCATGTGCCCACATGGACCACCGGGACCACCGGGACCACCGGGATATGATGGTAAACATGGTAGAGATGGACAGCCTGGAAGGGTAACTATTATTTTTGGATTACCAAAATTACTGTATCGGAATTTCGAAAAAAATTTTTTCAGTATTTCTTTGTTTTTGAAAGAGTTAAAATAATAACTTGAGGATATTTTAATCTTGTTTTCCATTTAAATTTTAGCATTTTTCATTGCTAGCATGGAAATTATGGGAGAAATGGTAGTGTGATGCCGTATGATGGCTTAAGGAATGAACCTTGTGTAATTTGTATGCCTGGTCCACCTGGACCACCGGGACAACCTGGTAATAAGGGACCACCAGGACCGCGGGGTGAATCGGGAGAGCCAGGTCATGATGGTAAGTTAAAATTAAAACCGATTGATAACAAATGATAAGATCCAATTAGCCTATACAGCGTTTACAAAAGTTTTCTAAAAAATAATTTTCAGGAAAAATAGGACGTCAGGGAATGATTGGACAACCTGGGCCAGCAGGTAGAATAGGTGAACCCGGACCTAGGGGTAAAAGAGGAGAAGTAAGTTAATTTCATAAATTTATGCCAATTTCATTACTCACTATTGTCTAAAAGCTATAAGTTAATATATTTGATATCAATGGTTTGTGCAATATTTTCTGTGATAATTGGAATCACGTTTTTTAGGATGGGAAACTTATTAAAATAGAAGGACCTCCTGGTACTCCGGGACCTGATGGACCAATGGGACAAGATGGTATGAAAGGACCAAAAGGAGATCGTGGACAGACTATTCCTGGACCTCCGGGACCACCGGGCGAAGTAAGTTACTCGAAGCTTTATTAGGATTTAATATTTTTCCTTTAGTTGCAGTTTTTCAAAATCATACACAATATTTCAGAGTGGAAAAAAAGGTAAAAGTGGTAAAAAAGGACCACCAGGATTACCAGGACCGAAAGGCTTACATGGTTTGAAAATTTGTCAAGTTAAATAATGATTTAAAAAAGTTAGATCAGATTTTTCAATTTCGTGAAGAAAAATTTCCATTATTCTCTTGCTCCCTATTTGTCAATAAACTGTACAGTAATAATTTTTTTGAAAATTTTAAAATAGCCATATTAAAAAGTTTGAAAGAGTGCAATTCTTCTTCTGTAAAATAATATCCACCTTTTTATCAATGAGCTTAATTTTATCTATAATTTAGGTAATGATGGTACTTGCGGCCATTGTCCATCGCCGCGAACTCCACCCGGCTATTAATATAGGATGTGATATATAAAACTTCTACTTATAATAGTGTTATTTTATACATTGATATCTTAATTATGCATGAGAAAGCTGTTGATATTCAATAAAATAAGACATATTCATTTTTTTAATTTATATTTAACAAAATCAATTTAGCACATCAAATATTGAAAACAGCTTAATATTATTTTAGGATTATTAAATATATTCCGATATACAAACCATACAACACATACATTTTTTGATAATTAAATAATTAATGGATCTTAGGCTAATAATGATTAAAAAACAGTAGGACTTATTTTTCTCTCCCTTTTCCTCTCTCTCTCTCTCACTCTTTCTCTCTCTCTCTCTCTCTTTCTTTCCGCCTCTCAAATTCTTAAAAAGAAAAAGAAAAAATTTCATTGGAAGAGGACATTTGCTAAGAATTCATTGTTGCAAATCAAATATTATAATGGAACACATCCTTCTCAACTAAATCCTTCAAACTTCCTGACATTAAAAAAAAAATCTGTAGCAGCAAAATTTGCATATTACCATTTGAAATCTTTGTATGTGAACAAAAAGAACAAAATTTCTCAAACATAAATAACTTTGTTATAAACTGATATTATTACGTATTGAATATTCTGTACATAAAAATTAAATTGAAGCTATAAAAAGTTCTTTTATAAAAATTGAAAAAATTAAAAGATAATACCATTTTTGTGTTTGCTAATATTCCGAAGTGGTCGCTTGTAAATATACATATTTGAGCTTCCTTTCTTTTAATGGTTACTCAATTCTTACTTAAAAAATTATTAGTTATTGAGTATTTGTAATTTATTATTGGTAAAAATAATTGATATTGTTTAGTCGAATGATAGCTTTTTAGAGAATCTATTGGATAAAATAATTTTAGCAAAAATTTCTCATTCATTTTATAGTGCTAAAATTTTTGCATTAATTTCATCAAAATATATTTAATTTATTAAACACATTCATACGTACAAACCATACAATACACACGCACACATATTTTTTTTCTTCATGAATAAATAATTCGCTAATTACCTAATACTTACCTATTTACTTACTTACTTACTTACTGACTTTATTTTTGTTATTATGCAGGGAAAATTTTCGCAACATTGACATTTCGTCATATATATCATACAAACAATTTTATCTTTTGTATATATGAAGCTTTTTTTTTAAAAAAAAAAAATGATTATTTGATGAAATTAAATGTCTTGCAGGCGTTATCTGATACATTAAATGCTCAAATGGTTGATATGAGCCCCATTGATATTTTTAATTTCATCCTAATTGGTGCCACTATCGGCATGATGTTAGCAATGCTTATCATTGTATATATGTGTAAAAGTGTGGGTGTTTTGTTAAATTTTAATTGATCACATTTCAATTACTTCTATGTTTTAGGCTTAAAGATTAGAGATCAAAATATTAACCAAAATATTCAAAATATTCATACTAATTCGTCTATATAAATTGCAAATTAAGCATTCAAATTAAAAATTTAATTTAAAATCATATTAAACTGTAACGAATATTATTTTCTCATATCACTTTATCTGTATAAATTACGAATTAGAAGTTTCATCTAAAAATTTAGTTCCAAATTTTAGATGATGCAGGATTAAAAATAATTAACTTTTGTAAATGAGCAATAAGTTAAATTTATAATTGCACTAATTTGACAATATCATTTGATAATGAATGCTGAAAAAATTTTTAGATTAGAAGTCCTCATTATGCTAATGTCGCATTAAATTATTGTCCAATAGTGGTACCATCAAAAAATACAACACCATTTAATAGCACGGATATTTTTGATAACAATAACAGCAAAGTAAAACAAAAAGTAACTTTTCAAAATTCAATTCAAACAAAAAAAAAACAACAAAGTTAATTGAAGATCTTAAACAGAAAACAAAAAAAAAAACAGCTACCATAATAAGTATGTATATAATTCTATTTTTTTTCTTTTTAAAATAATTCTTACACAATTGAATGCTAGTAATAATTTATACTCTAAGGTCTGATCAAATATTGATAAAGGTCAAATTATCCATAAATCAATTCTATAAATTATCGTATTACCTTTTTACTTTTTTTTGCATTATTCTCTTTTCTAGGATTGATTTTTCATTCATTTTCTTTTTTTTTGTTGCAAAAGGTTAATATCTCTTTCAATTTACTATTGCCGCTATCAGAATATCTTTCATTGATTAAATATCAATGAATAATCAATAGTGATCTCAGCTTATTGGGTTATTTAGGAGAAAATTATTTTCACAATTTGATGATACATTTTTCAGTAAACAAATAAAAGAAACACACTGCTAACAACATATTCCAATAGCAAAAACATTTGCAAATTTCATTTGCAATGAAATTGAACAATGAACGATGAAAAAAGGAGTTTTTTTATTTTTCATTTTCATTTTGTTACATTTCTTGTTTTCATTTCATTTTGTTAAATTTTGTTAAATGTTCAAATAAAAATTTAATTGATTTACCTTATAACATTTCTGAAAGATTTCCATTATATTTTACCATTTATCTCTTATCAATCAATTTTCCATAGTATAATCTTTGATATATTATAGAAGTGCTATCCGACTAAATTCTCTCCGCTATCAAATCATTCTTTCAAGTGTAACTTTAGATGAAATCGATTGTAAACACATTATCACAGTTGTTCAGATACCGTCAAAGTAACGGCTTCGATATTATCAAGATGTCAGTGAATAATAATAAATCCATTTCTATTTTAGGCTAGCAATTCTTTCTAGCTTATACTTTTCCAGAGAGAGCCATATACATGATATATTATTATTTAAGATTTATTTCAATTCCTACATTACGGACAAAATTTTTTAATCTTAGCCTAAGTTATATCATACCTTCTTCCAGATTGTACTAGAAAATTACTGTTCGAAAAGAAAATAAGTCATAGAATGGAATCAAAGTATTGCACAATTTTTTTTTTGTTGAAATACAATTTTGAATTATTTGTAGATATTATCAAAATTAGGCCTAATTAGTTTTAAAATGACGAGAGTTGGTAGCAAGATAGTGAAGTTTATCAACTGGGCCTTCAATGAATGGAGGAAGGCTTAAGTGACCGTTAGACCTTTTAATAACATTCATTACATTTAGGATACGAGATGGATGCCAATGTTTGTCAAAAATTCGAAATTAATCCATAATACAAAATTATCATACTAAATTCATGCGAAATATTTCTCAGTAAAAAATATAAAATTATTTTGACGGTTAAATGATTTATGTCTCTGTTTGTAAAGAAGTTTTACAAATCGTATGACTTGATAATTTTGATAATAAAATTCCATATGATTTCTGATTATGTTTATAAATTTTTGTAACAAAATTTCTGACTTTATTTGCAAATTCTTCAAAAAATTTTGCTATTAAATGTGAAGCGAATATAGTAGCCGTAAAGTTGAGGGATTTGATCAAATGACGAGAACTATAATTTCAAATATTTATGTTAAATGATGACCACTGAACTGAGAACTTAATGATGAGTAGAACAATTAAGGAATAGTTTAGCTGAAATGGTCGAGAAAATCGAAGAGTTACAGTAACATAATGAATGTTTTTTTTTCAATTGTGCATTTGAAAGTTTCCACAAAGAATCACTATGAAAGGTTCTCCACAGTAGAATTAAATTAAGTAAAACTTATGTTTGAAATTTAATTTAGGAATCTTGAGATTATCCTGCCCTTTCAAGTGATTAAAGCGTGTTGGTTGAAATTGCTGAATCATGATTATTTTTCTTCATTTACACATATGAAATATAAAATAATAAGTTGAATTTTGAATTTAAGAATTCCTAGAAAGAGCTAATAATTCATACAAACAATCATTCAGCACTCCTAAACTCTCTTCACTTTTCTTCAGAAAGAATTCACGATTAGTTTTAAATGATTCTTGAGAATAATAATGCATAGTACTTCTCTTATTCTCAATTATCTTTCTTGATGAATAAAAAAAAATTTTTAGAAATTCAATTAAAATCTTTCCTCGTTCATGAAGAAGCCATGCTTATCAACAAATGATGAACGATGAATGAATGCTTCATCCAACATCAAATTGTTTAATCATAACCTATTCTCGAATGCAACGATACCATTCAAAGCTATATTTTTATTAAAACAATGGATGACCTTTTGATCTTTAAACATCTCTACGTTTATAATATTTATCGATCAGATACAATTTCTTTTTTTTTTTTATCACCAACATAGCTCTATTAATTTGCTGCTTTCTATTACAAATATATTTCTTGCAATATTTTTGATTCGATTGCATCTATCTGTAATTCATCTAACGTAATTGTATACTCAACAAAAATATTTTAGCATAATATATAACTTTACAAATTTCTTAGCTTTGATTTTCCGGGATTCCGGAAAAGAAAATTTATCGCTGTAGAAAAAACTTATCTTTTTGCAACCGAATCGTATTTTTGCCGAATTCGATATTAACAAACACACTAAAAGCAAAACAGAATAAACCGGTAAATCCCATTGCATTAGCCTTTCCTGTTAGTCGTTGGCAACTTATGAAAATTAATGCTAATTTGAATAATGGTAATATTTTTTAGAAAAATGACTGGTCTTTGCTGATTATATAAGTTTGATATACGTAATGCATTCATTAAGGTCACGTTTACGTGATTCACGAAGTATCTCAGGATGGCATGCGCTTAACCTTTCAGAGTGAGGTAAAGCAAACAGATAACTGTATAGACTAACTTAAATCTATTTGATGAATAGTTAAACTATCTAATAAATGATGATTTATATTTTTAGATATTCCGGAGTATCAGATAGGCTAGTAGTATTATGGTGAAATGGATTAAGATATTAAGATAGAACTAGTCGAGTAGAAGGAAATTTAACTAATGCAAAAAGAGAGCTAAGTCGAATTTAAATTACACCAATGTTCAAAATAATATACGATAATTATTTTTGATAACAACAATTGAATATTTACTATTCAATACATCAATGTGTGCATACATTATTTCGATGTTATCTTACTCGTTTTTAACAATGCAACACTTTTTTGCACGGAAAAAAAATTTGCATTTCAGTCATTTGGAAATCGAAATTCAGAAATTTTGAAGTGATTGTCACTATCAAAAATTATGGGGAAAAATGAATCACAATGAGCGAACAAAGCAGCGAGGACATTAATGTCGAAATTGATAAATTGTTTGAAATGTTAGTTTCTTCTTAACATTTTACTTTTTTAGGACTATCCACAAAAATTGTGAAAACTAAAATAATAGACAGATGATTGCATGGAGTAGATAACTTATCTTTTAACTGAGGCTTCAAGGATGATCTAGGATGATATGTTCCTCTGAATTGAGCTGTGAACATTATCGACTTTTTTTAAGACTCATTTTTAATTACTATTCTTATAATTTGCTTTGTTTACTTATCTGTTGTCCAGCAACACTTACTTTTTATTCACTCAGTTAATTAAATCCTCTTTCTTGTCTTCAATACCTCTACTTCTCGAAAAACAGAACCTCGATCTTTTAGTGCTGTTAAATCAATTTGCTCGCATTATCTGTTCAGCACTTCTTCAAGTGTAGCGTGTTTTTCAATCGTTAATAGTTTGATTGTTTCTCGTTTTTTCCAAAAATTTTCTATAATTAAATCGATGCTTAACATGATATAATATAGATAAGTAATTTAAAGAAAAGTTTGTGATCTACACTTTGAAACAGGGGCTGTCTCTAAGGATTCAGTTAAGCATAAAGTTTAGAATAGCGTTAAAGAATATATTTCAAAGGAACATATTGTGGTTTCTATTAAAAAAATTCTACTTTCAAATATGTTAATTTAAAAAAAGAAATATTTCGTTTATGTGTAACCAATTTGAAAAAATTTTTACTAAGGAATCTAACTAAAAAACTTTTCTTGCAAATTTATTATGAAATTCGCTCTTTTTGATAAGTCAGTATTTTTTCATCTGAAAAAATAGTCGGATTAATTAACGGGACTTGTATTAATCAGAAATTAATCTTTCAAATAGTTCGGATATTCTTTTTCGATTTATGCTGAACATATTACTCTAAGATAAGAAGTACTGAGAAAACGGTACCCATTTTCGTATACGGTTAGCTAATTTCTGTTTTCTTATACGTTGAAATTAAAAGGAAAAAAATTTATAAATATTCAACTGCAAATATATTTTGTTACACGATTTATTAAGAATGGTATGAATGATGCTAAATTACTTCCTTATAGCATTGAATTGGATTGGGAATATCTACTCCATAATTTTGCTCATATAATTTTATCTTTACTCTCACTGCTGCATTCTAAAATTGCACATACGAAAATTATCTCACTCACTATGAATTACGGTGCACATATTATGAGAAATTCTGAAACAACGTGTTTATTTGGAAAAACAAAGTCCAAAAACAAAGTCTGGTAAAATTTGAAAAGATTGGAAAAGAAATTAAAATACTACTGATTCTTGTTTATACTACTGATACTCTCTTTGTAATTGTCAATTTAGGTAGTTTAAATTACTGTCTTTTTGTTTATACATTTGCTGAACATATGTAGATTTGACATTTTTACTTTATTTGATTGTGGATAAAGTTTATGGATAAAGTGAATAAGGTGCAGTAAGCTTGATGCGTATTGTTAGTTTAGAAAAAGTTTAGGCCGATTAATATATTGAGAATTCATTAATTCATTGTTTGCAAACATTTCTAGCCACCTGATATTTAGCAGATGAAGGGATTCAGGATTCTGGAAAGACCCGAAGAGTTTTAAAAGTTTTAAGAATATTTCAAAAGTGGAGACAGACTTTAATATGTTCTTAATTTCATTTTGTTGAATTTCTCAAATAAAATATTATGACCATTTCAAAATACCATATTTTGTAATATGTATTTTCAGCGACGAAACAACTTTGAGTGATTTTGCTATACACTCCGACGATGCACTGCCATCAACTTCTGTAACTCATAATGGTTTGTGCATAAAGCTTCTTTCTAACAAATTTGTATTTCATAAAGACTTATGTTTGAATTATTCATTATACAGGGAAGTTATAAATCAGAAATTTGCATGTTAATAAACTTTTGTTTAGTACGATCTCCAACCGATGTCGTTTTCGTATCTTCTCACTTGAACAGCTACCGGAATAGGATTGATGCAAGTGTTGATGAACAGCGAAAATATCGTCAAGTTCTAGCGGGTTTGAGCAATAAGGTTAGTTATGTGCAGTCATATTATTAAATAATTTATTATAAATCAAGAATTCTTTATTGTTATACATATTATGCTACTCACTTTTAATTTTGGTCATATGACTACGTTATCCAATTATTCAACTGTTATAAAGCAATTTTTAGCTAGTAGTACAATGTGTACTTTGAAGATGTAGCAAGGGTATTTATTTTTATTATTTTGATGATTATTTCAAGTTTTTAAACTTTAAAATTTCTGAAAAATTTTAAATTTTACAGGTGAAGAAGTATCGAAAGCGTACTGCGAAATCGGTAGCTCAATTGGCTCCAGATGTCGATACTATTGGTGGTATTTTGTCACGGTACATTGTTCAATTTACCATATGGGTTCTTTTTCTGTAGAAGTTCAGAAACTTAGAATTTCTCCACGATCATGCACTGATATGGTCCATACGGGAAGATAAAGATTATATTATTAGCCTGTTCAAATTACTAGAGAATAATTGATCTGTCCTTCTTGCATAATTAGCCGTTGTTTGAAAATAGCTTATCGGTGCAAAATTTATCACTACGAAATTATTCAAATTATCATTACTACAAAATCCGAATGTGTTTTTATAATTTCATATTCATATTTTGTGTCCGGAAATTTTTATCTATAATTTTAAGTCCACCTGAGATGTTACGTGTTGGACCTGATGGACTAAGTTCAAATCCTCTACTGCCTTCATCTTTCGCTGATACCGGTTTTAAAACAAAACTGCCTGATAGTTCCACAGATATGATCATTCAGCAATTACGTAATGAACAAATAAGGTATGTTGCAAGATATTTGTCATGCAAAAATATAGTTCGAAATCGGTTTTCCTATATTTTGCTATGCATTTAGACGATGCACTGCTATCAGCTTTTCTAATTTATAATAGTTTTTACATGAAGCTCCTTTTCTAATAAATTTAGATTTTAAAAGGAGTATATTATATGTGTGAGTCATTTTTTTAATAGAAAATTTATGAGTCCTATTGCTAAATTGCCATTTTAGTATAAACTTAGTTTATTTAAGATAAGGAAAACAAATAATGTCATTAACTCTATGCATATGGAAAACTTTTGAAAGAGAAAAAATAATATTTACAGGAATGACAGCTTAGAAGACCTAAATGATATATATCGGGAACAAGCAAAAGTTGCCATACGTTCGAATCAGAGTTTGAAAGACGAACTCCTGAAAACTAAGGAAGAATTAATGAAGGTAACACATGAAAGAGAAATGGAACGATGCTTGCTACGACAAAGCGATGAAGTAAGAAATCACTGTTTCAAAATATTCGACCAAAATTTAAAATTTTGATTATTTGACACCACATTTGATGCAGCTGCCTTGCAACTTCAACATTTTGGCTTGTCATGTTAACTAGCAACTAGTCTTCTACTCTTCATTTCAATCTAATCATAATAATTTGATAAGTAGATTATATTCGAAGACCTGGCTAAAAATTTAAGTAAGTCTATATTCAAATACTAACAGAATATTCAGTCAAAAAGGTGCTATTTTAAAATAAAAAAATTAAGTAAGTGTATATTTTATTCTCAAATTTTAAATTTCTTCACTTTCACAGAAAAAAAAACGTGCAATGGATACCCAGTACCAGCATATGCTTGAATTATGGGTATCTTTCAACAGACTTCGACGACAGGTTAGTAGTTATTTTTATTAAGTTATTTTAGATCAGTGCGAATTTGAATACGTTTTGACCAGTCCTTTCGCATGACATTATTCTGGCACCAATGAATTGATCAAAGTCTTTAAACTTAATTTCGAAAAATTTAATTCTCACTTGTCATATTTGGGACAAAATTTCAGCTTCTTTCTTCATTATCGATCATATTACCAATTCATTCAATAAAAAATATTATCATATTAAAGCTTTCATATTCAATCGTGTTTAAAAATTTGCTTCCAATCATACTTAAAAGTATGATTTCCATGGATTCTCTATTCGCCTTGATGGTTATTCGTAGTTAATAACATAACGTTTATTATTATTATTTACAACATAGTTTCATTTTACCAATTAATTTTCGCGGTTTGTCATTTTTAATCACAAAATTGAAAGCAGTGGAATTAAATTTTATCAAATTTGGTAGTTGCTAGTATATCAAAAATGTGTACATATTCAGTTGATGGCATTGATGATTATTTAATATCTAATAATTTAGTTCCATCACGGCTATAAAAACTCTCAGTGCAGTTAGTTACTAGTTAGAACAATTGGAAATGAAGTATTTAGTCAATACATAATTATGAAATTCAAGTAATAAAATTGATGTTTAGTAACTGGAAAGTTGGAAGTCGGACTCGAGATATAGGAAGATTATATCTGTATGCTAAATGCCTACTAGACAACGACATAAAATAATACAACTGAATATGAGAAAGAAGATCTTTTCCTATACATAAAAGAGATTATAGAATGATATATAACACAAGCACAGTATATCAATACTGACATACTTTGTTTTTACAGGTTAGAGATTTGAGAACGGAAACTGAAAGTGATTTGGATCGACAACGGACCGAATTCATACGCTGTGCAAATAACATGGAAGCACTTGTTTGCCAGGCTGAAATGAAGGTACTAATTATTGGTCTCTCTAACCAATATCGAATTAGGTTGATGTTTCGGTGTTGATAAAAGTGCTGATCATAATAATAGATAGCTTTTCTAGAAACCGTATGGGAAATTTCAAAAAACTGAGGAAGATATCTCAAAACTTTATAGAGCTAAGAATGGAATCGAGAAAACGGCAAGAATTACGAGAGATATCTTAATTTGAGATCGTTGGCGTATAAATGATAAAAGTAGTAGATATCAGATGTTGATGGATGATAGAGTTAAGGATGGTGTTTAAGAGAGTAGATAAATACGCCAGAAATGTATTTTACAGAAATGTATTAATTTGTATCAGCTTTTACATTGGCTGTAATTAGTAATATAATATTGTTTAACATAGCTGATGCATCAAATATTTTACTAATATTATCGCTGGAATCACCTGGTTGTGGATATCACTGAATTATGATATTCTTTATGTCAAAACTCAGTGAAGAATGTGTTACAGTGTTGAACTTTTCATTTTTCAATTTCACAAAATTATGTGCTCATAGAATATGCTGCAAGCGATAGACAAATTATAGTCCCCTATAAAGTTTTTTGGGCTGAATTTTTATTTATTCAGCGGAAACGTGTCGCATTTGAAAAAACAAAGGATGAAGATGCGATGAATGATTTATTGAAAAAATATGAAGATGTGGCTGTTCGAACTATTAAGGTTTCAATTTTGCATACAATAGTAATAGTGAAATTATATAAAAGATATTCATTGACAATTTAATATTTTGTTCTACTAAGATTTGTTCTATTCAATTTGTCCTTTATCAATAAATAAATTTGACGGATATTATAAGTTATTTAACACCGCTGTAGGGGTATCACATTGGATAATTACTTAATCCTAGTTACGAAACAAAATAAACGCTAAATTATTCTTTCCTCAGCTGGAACACGAACTGAATGATTCCAATCGTCGGGTTGCTTTCATGGACGGTCTTGTCAAGAAAGCCAATGAAGAACGTGATGCTGCAAAGGATTCATTGAAAAAAATTCATTTAATACCTGAGCTAGATGAAATACGCGGTCGACGAACCCGTTCTGTTAGTCCAGGTTAGAAGTATGAAGTTCTTGTGAAGCATAAAGGCACTATTTTTTTCATAAGACGGAATGAAAATAGTGAAAGATGATGAATCACAGCTTGATATATTTGGGAGAGACTTGAAGCAAATCAAAAAGCATTGTATATGCTAATTGCTAACTATGTACTAACTAGTTGAGTTTGAACAAAACAAATCGTTACAGTTTCATGTGCTAGTTATCGCTTATTTGTAAAAATTCGAGATGGTTTACTTAAAGCTTTGGTGATGCTTGTTCTGCTGTGCTTCAACGTCACGTAACCATTGTTACTTTTGTGACAAGTTCTAAAAATATTTTATTTTCTATTCTTATGACTGCTATTTAAAAAAAGGAATAATTCTTTCAGATGATTTCTTAGGCTATTTTAATACGATTCGTTTGGTACGTGCAGCATTGCAAGATAAAAACAACGAAATTAAAGATTATAAAAGAAAGTGTAACGAATATCAAGACAAATTATCTGAACGTGAAAATCGACTAACTCGAATGGAAGAATCACGCAGAAAGAACGATGAAGAATTCGTGGATCTTAAGAAAGAGAATGATAAAATGTTTGCTTGATATTTCATTGGAAGGATTTTTAGTAAAAGTTTTCCTTACATAAGCATTTTTTGAATGAATAATAAACATAGTGAAAAGGGACGCTTTTATAAGATTTTGACTTATTTTGATGTAAGAGTTATATGCCTGTCTTCAAGCATGGCTAGACCATGGCTGCGGAATGTTGCTAAGACAGATTTATCAATATAAAACTCTGTTCTGTACATGTTGAAATTTCAGACGACGAGATAAAGAAGAAATTGAACGAAAATTTCGACGTTTGAATGAACGATTTGAACGTTTAGATACTGAGAAAAATGAAACACAAAAAGCAATTGAACAGCTTCAAAATGAAATTCATTTACTTAATATGTAAGCTGCGTTTTATAAATTTTGTTTATAGCTCCAAAAAATGTACGTTTTTAGATGTGGAAAATCAATTTGCCTCATTTCTAATCTGGGTGAAATCTACTGTTGCTTATTGATGAAACTTATCTTTTCTGATAATGCTTATTAGGCCTCGTCAGTTATCGCAATTTATATTGTTATTTAACATAATTGTAATTATAGCAATCATCAGGAAACGTTAAATGAAATGTTTATAAAGCAACAAGAAGAATTTGCTGAGCGTCGAAAATATTTTGAAGATGAGTTGAAAGAACGCGATACGGACAATACCCAAAAACTGTTGTTTCTAAAGAATGAACTTGAGAAGTACAAAAATGAAGTGGACGAACTTCGAGATCAACTTCGAAATGCTCAAGCAGACTGTGAGGCAGAGCGTCGTCGAGTGGCTGAAAAAGGTTAGGGACAGTTTTTGCCATTTTCCATTCAACACATTTCTTTCAGTTTAATATTTTTTCTGTTGCTGCTTGGTAATGAACTGAAATGCAAATTCGGTCAGGAAAAGAAATGTAGTTTTTGTAACATTATTTCATCATTAAAAGTTAACCATGCTATTCATCGTCTCATTAAGCTATCGGTAGTTTGGTTCGCTAATCTCAACAGCCAGTTTAGTCATTTGTCTAATCATACTTCCATAAGGTTTGCCTTAATCGAATTCTACAAGATTCAATTTTTTGTTGGAGTTGGTTTAGAATGGTGAAATATATTGTAAAATATTTTCATTCTTATGAAGATTTGTTACAACTATAAAATTATTGTAAATTTTTAGAAAATATCGTCCTCGAACATCAGTTAGCACTGCGAAATTTACGCGATGAAAACAGTGATATTAGGATTGCGAGTGATGCGAAAGATATACGTATTGCGGAGTTGCAGCGACATACTGAGGATTTAAAATTGGAAGCGAAACAAAAAGACGAAACTTTGGATGAAGTAAGTTTAAAGTAACAATTACAAATGAAAGCATATCGTAATAATATTACCTTATGATTGTTTATAATTAAAATTATAACTCTTTCTTTAGATTCGAAATGAAAAATCAGTTTTGGCGACCGAAAATACTTCGTTATTGGCGAATATCAGTGCATTACGCGCTAATATGACCGAAAATAAGAATATATTGGAGCAAAATGAGAAGGCTTTGGAAAGTATGTTTAGAATATTATTTTAAATATAACAAAAGGTAATAGTGAATGTTGTCAGTGACTGATATCGTTTCTTTGATGTGATTGACGACAGCTACAGCTGATTAGAACGAGAAATAGATATTTCTAGAGGATCTATGAACTGTTGAAAATGAAAATTGAGAAAAAATTTTAATTCCAAAGAATTAAATATGGGTAAATTGATATCAAAATCCACGTTAAATTTTTAACTGGTGCCTCAGCTTCTGACATTCCATAAAACTAGTACAATAGCTTCAAACTAGATTAATTTGAAGTTGAAAGTGATACTGGCTAAAATCTAACAAGTTGTACTGGCATTAATTTGTTTTGTAATATAATTGCAAATGCGGACTTCTTAACAAAAATTCGAAAGTTCGTTGAGATTATTGGAATTAGCAAAATTTTGCAGTTCAAATTTTTAATATTTGAAGCATTTGACGCAAGTTTTATCAATGAGACATTAAACTGATTGATTTCATGAATCCTTGATCGATTTAAAAGATCTGTTTATATGTGCTTGTTTCTTTACTGATTTAAAAGATCTGTTTATATGTGCTTGTTTTCTTTACTGTTTCTTTACTGAAGCTAATGTCTTCAAGTAAATTTAGATAAAAAATTGTTGTTCTATAGTTGTTGTTCTATACTTTGTTTTAGATGCTACCATGAAAATTTCTGAAATTACGAAACAGCTAAAAGATCGTGATCAGAAAATTTTGTTATTGGAGAAAGCAGTGATAGACTATGAAATCAAAGTTGATTCGGTTAACTTTTTTTTTACATTTTCAGTTTCTTCAGCCATTTAAATTTCGGTTAGATTAATTGTATATATTTGAAGTTGATCAAAAATATTATTTAAGGAAATAATGCCGAACAGAATAGTGCTGGATTGCCTTGTGAAAACTTTTCAGAAGCCGATATTTGGATAACCGAACAATGCAAATAATGACAAAGCATATTGTGAATCATTTTAATGCAATCATTTTTTTTTCCAGACAAATGAACAGATTCTTAATACTAAGGTGGAACAGGCGATGAGAAGAGAAGAACTGGAGCAAAATGCTGCAAAGATTATATCACTCAATCAAGAAAAAACGAAACTTCTGAAGTAGCCTTGTTCAGAATTTTTATGTAAACGAAGCAAGACGTATTTACACATTCTACACTTTTATTTATTGTCTAGTTGGATTTAATCTGCACCATTTCTTCTAATTTTTAATCTAAACTTAGGAATTATTTTTGAATGATTAGGATTACATCCTCACTTGAGGCACTGTAATGAACTGCAGTTAAGTCCATAGATAAAAAGTGATATGTAATTATTGGGAGAAAGAAAAATTAGAAAAATAACAAATGATGGTCTTTTGTTGCACAAATAATACGCAAAATCAGTTTTTTTTATTTTAATTAAAGTCTGTTTCAATATATCTTTTTCATTTGTACACACCGAAAATAAAAGACGAAAAGGAAAGCGAAGAAAGAATTTTAATTACGCTAGTAATTTGATAAAATGAATTTATTGTGTGCAATTTGCATTGTGTTGTTCTTTGTTGTTTGTGCGTGCAATTTGCATTGTGTTTGTTCTTTGTTGTTTGTTAACTGTTGTTTGTTTCACTTAGCTATTAACCTAACTGTTGCTTCCAAATATGTGTTGCAGTTCAGCTTTACTGATAACAATCGTTATCAACAATACTGCTTCACTTTAATGTTGCTAGAGTGTTATTTCTTCGTTGCAAAGTTTCATAATGGTATATTGACAAATTTACTGACATATCAGTAATACTATGGAGTTTTTTAAATGTAACAGTAGTTTACTGTGATAATTCACGGAAGTTGCACTTTTAAAGTTAACATATTTTCAGACGTTCTATTTAACACATTCGTTGAGATTTGATGCTTAGAATGCACTGTGAAATACTTTATAGCAGCCTGAAAGATATGATATAGCTTTTCGAAATATAAGATGAGCTATTGCGCAGATCACTTTGTGTCAAATGAATCCTGAGCATCAGTAAATTTAAATAAAAATTTGGCATTAGCATACAGTGTAGGGTTTTCCCAGGGAATCACACTTCTTGCATTAATGTTTACCTCGCCGTTTTAATTTTTATAAGTAATTCATCTATTTTGTTGATAATACTTTTATGAATATCAGAAGTTTTAAAATTATCCAGAAGTTTTCGATTTTAGAGAACGTTCAGATTTGGAAAATGAACTTGGTCGAGTATCTAACGCTGCAGTTGAACTGGAAAAAAAGATTATAGATCTAGAAAAATGCATTGAAAGTCATGTTGCTCAAGTAACAATTTCAAATATAATCTCTAAATTAAAGTTGTAATGGTGATTACCAAAAATGGTTAAGATAGTTAAGAATTGTAGAGTCATCGATGGTTTGATCACAATTCTGCGAAAGTACATTTTCCTCTTGGATTATTTATTCATGAAGAATTCATCTTCAGGAAACAATGCTTCATGATGCTTTGGAGCAGTATAAAGTGAAAGAGCAGGAAATATCACAGGCATTGGCTAAATCACAATTCGAAATAGCCAGACTGAATGGTTAGTTTATAATGATGTATTTGAATATTAATTTATAATCAAGCAATAATTTCATTCCTCTCCATATTCATCAATTGTTTTACGAATAAGTTATATTAATAGAATGAAACAATTTGTCCGAATATAATGCTTTATCAGTATTATTTGTACTACTTAAAGTGAACTATCAAATTCTTATTATATTCTCAAATATATTACATCACTGCGATGATGCGCTCATTAAAGAGCCGTTAAAATCTACTCATGAATGTTCTAATGTAAATCAATTACAGTGTTTCAGTTTTTTCTGTTTCCAGAAATCAATGATAGAATTAAATCAGAGCATAATGCTGAACTGAAGCGTGTACATCACGAATATAGAGAAATAGAGAAAAAAGTTATCATCCAAAAGAAAACCGAAATCGAGAATTATGAGGATACAATATTTGCCCTGCGTGAAAATAAGGTAAAGGAAAGCAATGAAAAGCTGAGGACTGATTTAACCATAAATTTTTATCATTCATAATATCATGTTTCTGAAAACATCATATCTTTCACGATGACAACCACATCTTTAATTGCTATGTCATTTAGTACCCTTAACTTATACGGGCCATATAAGTTTGTGATTTCCGAGTCACTTGATCACTATTACGTACCAAAAAGTAATTTTCAATTCTCTGAAGCATGTGTGATGGCTAATCAAAATTATCAAAAAACTTAGGTAATGCTTAATACATTTTAATACCTCCTCAAACAGTTGTAACAAATAGTACTTAAAAAATATCACCATTGGTCAGTAAATTAAAGCGGAAACTTCGAGTAAATTAAAGAACTGTTGAGTCTAAATCTACATATTTTAGGCTTAAGTCTAAAATTTAATTATTGTGAATCAATGAATAATTGTAAGTTATACTTAAATGAGTGATCAAATGATAGTTTATTCTCTCATTCGACATGATAGTACTGACTTGAAGGTCAAATTTTAATCAAATCGAAGGCTTTTGTTCATAGGAATATTTGGAGAAATCGCTAGCTGGGACTGAAGAAAAAATGAAAGAACTTTCTTTGCGATATGAAAATGTAACATTTGAAAAAGAAAATTTGCGTACTCACTTGGACGAGGAAAAAGAATGGTACGAAAAAGAAATAAATTCGTTGCGGCAACAACTGGATGCTATTAAAGAACAATATGTCGAGGAAATTGCGGAATGGGAAAAAATTTGTACGGAGGTTGGTGTTATCTTATCCAGAAAAAAGATTATCGATTTGAAATATATATATGTAATCTTTCACTACAGTGGCTGAAAGGAGAGCATATATAACATGCCACTTATTCTGGATTTCTAATCAAACTATTCTTTTACCTTAGAACTTCTTTCCGAATTATTTTGCAGTCTCTCTTCTGTGTTCTGAAAGAAATGAGATAACCAAAGAATTTTGATTTAAAATATGAATTTTTACTTTTTTTTGAGTTTGTATTAAATGTAATAATTATTTTTTCCTAGATTATTTGAAATAAATTCATTAGAAATAGTCATTTCTGTTTTTACTGTTATGACTATTCCATTTTGCTATTAGGAAATAAAATATATACATCTAATTTTTTTGTAGAAAGACAGTTCGTATAATTTGAAAGTATTGAAAATGGAGGATGATATGAAAGTGTTAAATGACAGACTCCAACGAAGTGAGGAAGCAGAGTCCAATTTGAGACGTAAAATGGTGGATTTAAATTTACTCATTGATCGCGAAAAAGATACTGTTAAATTGTCGCAATCAGAAATAAGCAATAAAGAGTAAGTGATTTTGAGGTAATTTGAAGCGATTAATAAAAAATGACTGGATAAAATATTTTATACTTTTGACTGTTTTAAAAGTTTTAGAGTCGAAGATTTTTCAGAGAAGAAATGAAGTTAGAACTGGAGAAAAAATTGGATCAAGTACGCCGGAAATGGGACGAAAAAATAAAACTAAAAGATGATGAGCTTGTGAAAGCACGTTACAATATTGAAACTTTACAAACAAAATGTTTGGAATTAGAAAAGACGCTTCATTCTGTTGAAAGTCGTCTAGACAAAAGTAATCAAATGTTTGCTATTTTTGCTCCATCTTAGATTGTTTAATTTGCCAAGTATTAGTTAAAAAAATCAAAAAGCTTATGTGATTGGATAGATCATACAAACAGTAATAAATAAATATTTACTAAGCGGCCATTTATATATAGTTGACTATATACTTCATAAATAAATAATATGCTGATAAAGGTTACGTTTTTTAGTCTGTCTGCAGTCATTTTGTCTTCTTTCATATTAAGGATACTGTACTGCCAGTACAGTGCCTTTATTGCGAAGAATTATAAAATGCCGCTGATTTTTGTTCAATATAAAAATGTAATTTTTTCAAGAAACAAAAGATTTGTCAACAGCTGAAAATGAATTGAAACAGATGGAAGATCGAATTGCATTACGCATGAATGAAGAAGCTGCCTTCAAAAGTATTCTTGCGGATAATAAACGAGAAAAAAAAGATCTAAAAATACAACGAGACGAGTTGAAAGTTTCATTGCAAGGAGCCTATACCCGAGCAGAAGGTGTAATTTTGTTCCAAACACTTACTAAACCATTACGTTTGCGATAAAGTCTAGCTTTCCATCTAAGTGACAAGTATTTTGTTTTCCAAGTTGACTAGAATTTCTGAAATTTAGAAAGATTGAGAACTTTTCTCCATAAAAAATTTATAATTTACTGGGCCTTGTGCTTTTTCATTCCTAGTTAAATGTACTTTACTTTTGCATTCAACGAAAAGTTTGCCAGTAGTAATAACTTTTTAGTTAATGGTTTTACAAAGGGACTTTTTTTACGTCATTCCCTTTCTCAAAAAAATTGTGGATATAACTGGCTGACTGACTTATTAATTTGAGTTGGAAAAAATTACATTTCAACTTTTAATTGTATTATTTCAGCTTCATTTATTGATTTGGTTCATTGTTTGCTTGTTGAGTAAAATTGATGTGATAAATTGAAATTTGTTAAAAATAAATTAAATTTGTTTAAGTAACACCATACAATTATCGCTTTTTGTAGCTCTATTCAGGTCTTAATTTTTTTCATTTCAGAAATGAAAAGTAATGAAGAGATTTTGCGAAAAGAAATTGGGATGATGAAAAGCAAATTGCAAGATGAGGAAAAGCAGGCACAGAAATTATCAAACGACATGAAACAATTAGAGAATGAGGTAAACAATCACGAAATTAAACGTTATCATATAACGAATAACACGATTATGTAAATGGTTAGTGAGGTTCAATTCTGGAATCCGAAACCAAATATATATATATATATATATATAGTGTGCAGATATTTGATGTTTCGTTATTATCCATTAAGTGACTTCTGAAATTTAAACAAGTTTGAAATTAAAATTAAACCAAGGCATTTAGAATAAGAAACTTGAAGTGATTCTATCAGAGCGAACGAGTGATTTATCAAGCTTGACAGCTCTGCTCAAACAATCGGAGAGCATACAAAAGCAGACGATAAAGGAGTTGGAAGAGGAAAAGCAAAAGGTTTTGAAGCAGTCCCTGAACCATTAATATGAGAATTATAAGGCTGTATATTGAATTAAAAATTTTAATATCTACTTAAGTTTGTCGTTTTTTACTGATTGTTAATAAGAGTTCTATTCTCAATAAGTCCATCATCCTAATTAACGCAAAATTTAATTAACACCACTTTTAATTTAGGTTGAACAAGAAAGCTGAGTGTACATTGATGCTTTCTGCTTGCATATTTAATTATTTATCTAGTTGAACTGGCTCTACAATCTTTGTCTCATTACACAGCCTTTGCCTTGTTAATGCAGTTCGTCTTTTTTTGGAAGAAATTCATTAGTTGAACGGCTATAATTTCAAAATTTTAACAGAGCTATGAAACTGGAAAAAAGATAGCAGCTTTGCAAGCTGAAAATGAAAAACTATCAAGCGACCTAACCCATACACGCAGTGTTTTGGAGCAAAAAATTACAACAAATCAGCAAGCAATGGCTGATATCGTAAAGAACTATAAGGCTGCAGAAAAAAGTCGCATTGAAGCTATACATGAGAGGGAAAGTATTGCTGACGAATTGAACAACTTGAAGTGAGTCGTTTTTTTTTTGTCAATTTAATTCATAATTCTTTTCTTCATGTCATAAGTTAATTATGGAAAATTGAATTATAAATTTTGTCATATTTGAGCAATAATGTTTAGAGTGCAGGAATTCATTTTGATCAAATTGGCAGTAAATTTTGCAATCTTAACTCTCTTTGTAGATTATGGTTCAGCAATAGAGACTGCATTTACACTTTATCTGTATTCTAAATTGAAATTTGACTTACCTAATTTCATTTAGCAATTTTTGTTTGCTGTATTTTCATTCGAAACTAAGCAAAAATGAAAAATTTTGATCGATTAACCTGGAAAAATCATCCAAAAGCTATCATCCAAAAGTAGAGCGGACTGTTTCAATGTTTGGTTCACTACATTATAAGCGGCCAAATTAGCAGATGATAAAGCGCGGATTATGACTGCCTAGGTTGGTGGACTGAAGTTTCTTTGGAATTGTTTTGGATTATTTATTTCAATTTTATTTTATGCAGAGATCTATTGGCTGCTGGAGATGCGAAACGAGTGAACATTGAAAAGACATTAGCAGAATCTGAAATGTTGCGAAAAGAACTTGTAAAAAAAGTGGCACATTTTGAAAATAGCGCTAGGAGAGCGCTTAGTTTTGCAAGTAAGCTCAATTTTTGACATATCGAGTGTTTTTACTGATTTAACAGGCAACCATGTCCCACTTTACTGATTTAGCCAATTTGTGAATTTCCAATATCCTTTTGTTCAAATTTTTTGAAAGTTGCAAAATTTTCTAATAAATGACCGGAGACCTGGTTATACAGTCAAGAAACAACTAATTTGTTAATTGATATATTTAATTTTTAAGCATTTGATCTCATTTGCAGAAGCTCGTAATTTGTCATCATTTCGATCATGTGCTTCGGAAATGAATGCAAAAATAATAAATCGATTAGGTAAGTTGATTATTTCTAGAAGAAATTAATAAACTTATAGATGTCGATAGAGCATGTAACAAATATAGGTTAATAATGTTGGAAGAAATGGTTTTCTGTTGATTTATTTGACAAATTCTATTTGTCTTATGTATAGATGTTGCATCAGTAATTAAGAATTATAGACTTTGCGTAGCAGTAGTCAGCACGACAAACGACAAAATATTTTAAACTTTTAAAAAACTTTAAATTTAGAATTTTCAATTTGAGCTTTAGCTAGAATAGTTTGCTATTTAACAAAATTATCATTTTATCAAATAGCCTTTTGGTGAAATTCATATAGATGGAATTAGTCTTGAAAATTATTATTAAGGTGAAGGATCTCTGCGTCGTAGCAGTTCAGCATCTTTTTCTCCTCACGTATATTTTGATTTAAACTCTGATGTCGAATCGGTTAGTCTCGAAAGTTTAGATATAAGTTCATCCGTTGAAATAACATTTCGGCATTTGAAGGATCGCATTAACGAGCTTGAACAAGCCAAGGTATCAATTTGTCATTGTTTACGTAGTATTTGTGCTTTTAGAGTTTTATACCGTTATATTTTGAAATTATATTTACAGTACTTACAATAAATTCATATATTAGATTTGTATTTCTCAATTCCACAATTGGATATTTTTATCATGAGATTTCTTCCAAAAAATCACTTAGTGAATGATAATGATAATTTCGGATCTTAATTATTTTCATGCAGGCTAACGAAGCAGCAACACTTATTCGTTTGAAAGTTGATAGAGAACGGATATCAAAAGAGAACCAAAAGAATTTGGATAAAATTCATTTATTAGAACGCAAAATAGTCGATCTCGAAGAAGGTAGGTTTATATGATCATCATATAATTTCTAAAATGAAAAAAGTGAAAAAAAAAGCGATCTGAAGAGGAAGATTCTAAAAATATGAAAGAATTTGATTCCTAGTCACTGCAATTTAAAATCAAACGAATTTCACAAATAATTTCAAAATTTTCAAGATAAACGACTTTTGGAATCACGTCTTTCAAATTCAAGGCAGCTTCTAGTTTCACAGGAAGAAAGCCTTCGAGCCAGAGAAGTTGAACGCAAAGCATTGAAAACTCGGGTAGTTAGCACTGATCTTCATAGTCGTGATAGAGAAGCTCGTCTTTCTTCCCTAAATGTTAGTTGATTTCGAGAATTTTCACAGGAAATTATAATTGGTTCTCAAAAATATAAAACAAACACTTTAGACACGTGCCTTTTTGGAACTCTTGCAAATTTTAGTAGTTATATAAACACATGTCATTTGACTTGTAGTAATGATACTTAAAATAGCAATTTTGAATTATTGTAAGGAGAATTTATCTGATAACATAGTTATATTTAGAAACAAGTAGCAGCTTTGAAAATCGAGTTAGCAACAGTGGAAGATGAACGTAAAAAGTTAGAGAAATTTCAAGTGATGTGGGAGGAAGAGCGGTTGTTATATGAATCGGCTTGTAAAGATGCAGACAAGAAAGTGGAGCAGTATCGGATAGATATGAAGTCAGTAATTTCTGCGAAAGAGGTAATTTCTACGAAACTATTTTTATTACAGGTATGTCATACTGACAAAGACAGATACCAAGCAGTGTGATTTAGATAGATATCTTTCCTTCTGATAGTATTTTGGAAGAATACAGATTAACAAAATAAAAAATTAAATTTAAAATTGTCCATAGAAATTAGAAGAACGTTTGAATGAAACGCAACATTTGCTTGCAAGAACACAACAACAGTGTGAAGAATTGGAAAAAGCGAATAAGGAATATAAAAATATGCTTGAGCAAGCGAAGGTAAGAAATAGTTATCACTTTTTTTATGTTTTCATTTTATGAATACTTTTTATTTTCTGTTTAAGTGCATTATTATTATTTGAAAATCTTTGGTGATCATGAGTTTAAACTTTAGAAATATTTCCATTAAATAAATTAATTTACAATTTTGTGAAGAATTCGGACTAGCTCACATCGTAGCTCTATGATGATATGTTTCGAAATAAGAATTTAATATTGTTAAGGTAGATAAAGGCTTAGGAGAGGATCGACGAAAACAGGATGATCACGCAAAGATCAGTGACTCGGATTTATTGTCGAAATTAAATGTACTACAGCATGAATACGACAACTGTTTGTTTCGGTTACGAGCCAGCGACTTAGGAAAACAGTCTCTTAAGTGTGTTTTCAAAATTCATTTGACTTAAATATCTGAATGTGAACTTCTGTTTTTATTCCACCAAACTCCTTCAGATTTATATACATATACATTGGAAATTTACTGACTTTTTCAGAGATAATTCAGAATATATTTTCAAATATATAGTATTTTCAAACGCTTAAAAATTTTAAGTAGCATCTCAAATTATCTGAAAAAGTTGCGCTATCTTAAACTAAAATTCTTTGTCCATGCTTTCTGATGTAGATATAATGTCATTTATTTGTGCAGTAATTGTCGTTTCTATATTAGAAATGATCTGGATGAAGCAAGAAATCGGCAAAAGCAAACATCTCATAGAATTGCCAGCATGCAACATAAATTAGAAGAACTGCTTGCAGAAAAGAATCGTTTGCAGGAGCGTTTGGGTATCATGGAAAAGGTTTTTTTTTACTTCGTTTCACGGAAAAAAGGGGTGGTTCGCAGGAGCATTCGGATATCATGGAAAAGGTTTTTTTTACTTCCACGAAAAAAAGGAAGTGATAAAACTCTTACTTCGTCGTAATATATCTTCCAGAAGCATTCAAGGTTCATATCCGTAATGAGTTTGGCATTTAAACAGTAAATTTATTTTTAAATCCCTTGAAACAGGGTACATCTTGTCACAGTAAGTAAATTTCTGTGTTTTTAATTATGAAATTGAAAAAGAAAATTGATATTTAAGCGAGAAAAAGATAATCAACAAATGGAAAAGGATATGCGCATAGAGTTGGAGAAATTGCGAGCTGAAAAAATCATGCTTCTTGCGGAAAATGAAGAATTGAAACGACGTTTAAATAAAGCTGAGGTGGAGCATCGAGAATTTGATGCTTATCGTGCACGTCTTGAAAGAGAACGCCTAGCTCTAAAACGAAACATTGAAACAGTAAATTTTACATCTTTGACTACTAAGAAAAGGGCTTCAAATCTCCAGTGGGTTGACTTAGTACCTTTGCAAATAAGATCATAAAATGCTACTTTTTTCAAATATCTAAGTTTCTGACCTGAAAATGGTGCAGTAAACTTAATGCTATGCCGTAAGCATATTGAAATATGAAATGAAGACTTGAACTCTTATTTTATTATTTCGAATGATATTGGATACCTAGTAAATGGAAATAAAAAAAAATTTGAAAATGTTGATTAGAATTTGGCATTTTAAAAGTTTAACAAACAGATGCATTCTTAAGCTAACATTATTGTTATATTTTATCCATTTAAAGAATTTTAGAATTTGATAAATTTTAGCAAATTTCACTTAATTATATTAGTTTAATGGATAGAAGTTATTTGGTATTCAAAGCAAACTTTTTTTCAGTTGGAGACTGAAAAACAACGGACCGATGCAGCAATCCGTCAAATAACATCCGAACGCCAGGCATTGGACAAATCGTTGACAACGATGGAAAAAGAGAATATGGAATTATACAGAAATTGCACTCAATTACAAAATCAAGTGGTTTAATTCAATTTTAAAGTTTTAATTTGCTATTAACGAATCAGCTAAAATTTTTCATAATATTTGGTATCAATCCGTTATTTTTTTGATTTGTGCTTAATAAGGAATAATTATTTTGAACTAATATGATAAGTACGTAAAGTATTAAAAAAAATTTTTTTAAAATCACATTTACAAAACTCAGCAAATAAAACATTAATGGAAAAGACCGAATTTGAAATGCTGCGAATTTTTAGGTTGTCCAACTGGAAAAAGAAAATAGTTCAAACTTGGTTAAAGAATCAGCGGCACAATTAAGAGCTTTAGAAAATAAGCTGATGCAAGCTCAATGTGAAAGGCAGCAAGTAATACCATTTTAACTTTGTTACGATCAAAAAATGCTATCAAAAATTTTTTTTCAAAATATTTTGTTTTACAAAGATTTAATATCATAATGAAAACTGTTTTACTTTATTCGCCGATAAATTATAATCGGTAGCCTAAACATGCCATACAGGAGGAATTCTTACTGCTATTCACTGTTACCTGAAATTTTCACATTAATTAATTCAAATCGAACATAAAAATATTAGTTAATTAATGAACTTGAATTTAAGGTATTTGCTTTTACTTGATAGCAAATGCTTTTGATCTGATCCATATTTGATCAGAATCAGTAAATACCAGATAATATAATAGTTCCAGATCAGTTTCATTGCCCTTCATTTTTAATATGATGGTTTTAATCATTTTTCAGATTGAGCAGTTACTTGAGCAGCGAGAATTAGCATGTTCGCAAAAGATTAAATTATTGGAATCAAAAATAATGGTTCTTAAAGAGCAATTAGATGCGGAACGAAAAAGACGACTGGAGGTCGTGGAGCGAAAAGCAGTTGTTCAACGAGATCTACAAGAATTGAGGTCAGACTTGGGTGCTTCTGTTTCATCAGCACACCGGCTCTCATTGCACCTCCCACGGGAACATTACGAGCTAGCTGCTGAAGTACGAATTCGAGCACAGAGTTTTAGCAACAACTCTTCCACCTATTGAACTTAAAAATTCCCAAACATTATTCAAGAAAAATTATTATTAACCCACATCTTCAATTTTCTGACGCTTCCATGCAAACCGCTTTTGCTTATTTTTGACAAAATTTCTTCACCATATTAGAAGCTAACAGCTTGTCTATTAGTATTTTGCTATCATGTATGCATGCATGCTGATAAAAAAACGTATAATTTAGATTTTGCAGAGATAATGGTAAAATTTTCTGTGGATTTGCTGCTGAAATTTACGATTTAAATAGAATCTTTAATTTTTTTTAGAAATTTTCTCAAATTCCATGCTTAAAGTGTTTAATGAATAGATCACTGATATTAATCTCTTAAAGCTGCAAATCCATATAATTGTTTTGAAAATCTACAAAATATTGAAACGAACACATGAAATCAATTTTTCTAGTGTGGAAATTATCTCTTAATTTCCATCGTATGCAGAAATGAATTAGATGATTCTTTTCGTGTTCCACTTAATTTTTTTGTCTAAATGATTTAATATTTTTTGTATAATTTAAGATCTCGGATTATTGATCTTACGTGATTTTTGAATTAGATGATCGTATTGGTTCTGGAATCTTTAAGCACAGAGATTGACTTTCGTCTTAGAATATTTTATCAAAAACTAGTTTCAGGCTCTATCGACAAATTAGACGGAGAAAAACAATTGATTCAAAGAATTAGACCAAAAAATGAAATCGGTGTTATATGGTGAACCAACTTATTGCTTACAGTATACTACAGGGTGTTTATATGAATGACTGATTTGTTTTGGTTGTGTTCTAACTTGTTTCAAGGTTACAGTTTAGGATCAAAACATTTTCCATGTTATATTCTTTATAAAGAGGACCTTAATAGATGATCTGAATTTCACATTTATTAATAGAACTTTTAAAAGGACAGGATACAATTGTGAATTGATAGAAATGTGCTAGACTTATATACTGAGAGATCAATTTTTCTGTAAATTACCAGTGCAATAAAGCTATCAGATGATAAGAACATGTCTGTATGCGCTTCACTGCTAAATCTCTTATTATTTATTGAGTGAATCTGATTAAACATTGATAGGATATATGAATCGATCTATCGATGTCATGGTAGTTATAACTGCATATTTTCATACAAATAATCACCTATCAGCTTATGCTACGCTTATCACATTGCTTTACATAACTATCATTCTGCTTCCTCTGTTTTTTCTATTTATTTTCAAAATTCTTTAGAATGCATTTCTTTTCAATTATGTTTTGTTACAGCTATATCCAAATGTGCATTTCTTTTCAATTATGTTTTATTACAGCTATATCCAAATGTATCCGCTTGAAATCTGTCAGTATTTTGCACATGAAAATTGCTCGCGTTTCCATGGAATGATGAGGAACTTATTAACAACATAGTCAATAGTTAAAGTGAATAATTAATCTAACGACTAATTTCTTGATCCTACACAATGTGCTGTTATTAGCCGGAAAATTGGTGGTACATTGACGGATGATCTCAGAAATTCATCCATTGTTAAAGGGCGTTGCAATGATCGTTTTATTTTGCTTTAATATTTTATTCAATTTTTTGAAAATCAATTGATATAAAAAAAAATCTTAGGGTTTCTAAACTACGACGATGGCAGTATGCTACAACATCGACCTGTACCGCTTTATTTAGTCAATGTTTGTCTGGCAATTCATCGTAAAATCTTTTAGAAGAAATAGCTTTAAATGTTTTTATTTGTTATCAATATGTTTGTTATATATTTCATTATATTTTATTTTAATTGATTGAGTCTAACCTTGAAAATCATACTGCGATAATTTGATAATCGGCAGACGATTAGGAATTGATTTCGATATATAAGGCATTCATTAGGTTCGGCTGTAAAAATATGTATTTGCTGTATTTCTGGAAAGGATATTCAATCATCCGTGTTTTTTTTTATTGGTGATAATCTGCTTCAATTTCTTGAAACAAAAATTTTATACTGTTTCCTTTTTATGTTTTTATATTTTTTGCAGAAATTTGAACTTAAAATTTTGAAACTTAAAATTTAGTAGTTTTTATGAAAACCTGAAATTCTAATTTGTTATGTTCTAACTTTTTTACTTGAGCAAAGAATGTTCTTTACATCATGTGCCAAATGAAATTTTTATACTTTACTGCTAAAAACAGTCAGTAATTCGTCCTTTCAAAATGAATAATATCAAAATGGCATTGTGATCAATTTTCATTTCATTTATGGTAACAGTTTTGCCAAATATACTTTACTGAAACATACTCCGATCATTTTTCTCCGTATTATTTTTACATTCCATCAAAACATACTTATTTTATGTGATGTATAAGAAGTATTGGGTATGATCTATCTGCCAAAACTATTCCTGCCAAATTGTACATTTATGATGCATTTTCATATGGATCTCTTTATGATCATTGGTAGTCCTTATTAATTCGTCTTTTATATATTTGCTTATCTCTATTTACGGTTTATTGTCAATTGTTTGTTGAATCTGTGCAGTGCAAATTAATGTTTTTATAGAAATTTATTCACGTTTCTTTTTGTAAATTGAATTAAATCGATTTTATTCTCTCATTTTCCTAACTAAGAATGGTATCACCGGATAAACATATCTATATAACAATAAAAAGGATTTAATTTGTGGTGGAAAGGGAATCAACAAGAAGCATCATTGATTTCAAATAGAAGTGTTATTTTAGTTTTTTATATAACAAAAAGCTTTGAGTAAGTTCTTAAGAAAATTCTTATGATATTTGAAATTTGAAAATAGAAATATAGATGAAGCCAGGCTATGTGATAAGAGTTCGTGTAAAATGAAGTGAGGAATGGAAATTTGAAGGAAAATAAAAATATTGACCATTAGTATTTTTGTTTCTCTTACATCTAAATACCGACTAGTGAATACTGTTGACATAGCTATTGCATCTCATGCGCATCCTGCAGATTATTTATCCTATAAATTTATTGGATAGTCGAAAATCATGAATTATTTCATTATTTTCTTGTACTTTTTTTATTATTATCAAATTTGAATTTCTAGAGAATTTAAAATTGAACTGAGAGCATTGAAAGAAGGGTAAATGGGAGCATTGATAGAAGGTCAAATGAAAACTGATAAGGAAACGTTCGATTTTATTACAAAAAAAAATCCTCAGTGCACTACGGTCATCGTTATTATATGATTATTTTTCGAAATATTTTTAAGGAAGATTAATTGTAAAATTTACGATTTGCATTCTTTACGTTTATACGATAGTAATGAATCCTGTAAATGCATTTAATTCATTTCAGTTTGTCTAATATCTACTTTTAATATTTAATTCAATTTCATAACATATTGCGAAACATACATACATACATAAGTCCCTGCTTAGGTATTTGTTACCAATAGTAGATTACATGGCCCAGAAATATTGGATTCTTCAATTGCCAAATTTATTGGAATGCTACAGGATAACTTCATTTATATATCATACCTTGGCTCTATTAACATGTTCTATGAAACTAGAATTTAAGTGATAATTTCAACTGATAATTTTTCAATACGTGATTCATTTTCTTAGGAATAACTTTAACTAGCGAAATAAAATTTAGAATTGATCGGTGCTACTAAACCTTGTGTGATTACATGAAATATATTAAAGAGAACAGGGATTATCATAGTTATATTTACACGTGTAATTCAACGTTAAGTCCATTGAATGAGGGATATAACATTTACGCATAAAGACCGCGATAATAGAAGTCTCTCCCAAAACGAGCGAGTTTTCGGAGGCGTGGGTGGTTGTGATTTTTTGTCAGTTTTTGCCGCACTTTATTGTCGTCTGGTTTTTGATTTATTAAAGACATGTGGTTTGATGAAATGTAAGACTTTTTTTAAATTTCAGTCTGTCTCTATCCATGAAAAATTTTCACTTGTCAATTCTTTTTTCGGAAGATTTTTAATTATTTTATAAATTAGAAAATTTCATTAGTTTAACTAATTTTCAGGTTTGTTCAAAAAAATTTTTAAAGATTTGGAAAGTGTTTTATTTGGTCGCACATGTTTCCTATATTGAATGCATATAATCAAACGCAGCATGCACAGTTCATATGTTTTATTTCTAATTCTTATTTTGCCAGTATCGATTGCCAAAGTTAAAGACGTAAGCCATTTTTATATTAATGTGCTCTGATAACGTTGAAAATTTTATAGTACTGTGTACGGCTTGTCAAAATTACAACTTTTGATGAAGAATATTATATTTAAGGTTACGTTGCTATGACTTCCTAGGCGGTAGAAATTTTCTTTTATACTTTATCAGACCGGACAAAATATTGTATGGAAAAAGCCTTTATGTAAGAAAAGTAGAACTTGTTGGAACTAATTTGCTGGAAATGTGGTTGAGGGAGTTGCAGGGTAGGAGGGATTTCAGTTCTTTACAGTTGATTTTAAATATCATGGAGATTTGAAAGGTTGAATAATTCTTAGTAAATTGTTTTATATACAGATGGCCAGTTCGAGTTGAGAATATTCAATTGATACTGATGTTAATTCTGTTTAAATTTAAGGCCTTAGCGGAGTATTCAAAACATGAGAAGTGTCGTATTTGAAATAATTGATTTCACATAAATATTTTTGTTTATGTTTGAATATATCCTGTTGAAAATAAAAGAGAGCTAATGTATTCTCTGGAATGATTTCATGTTTGTCCTAGAGATAGAAAGAATAAGCTTAATCATTATGGAATCGGCAAATAGAACTGTCAAAATATTTGTTTGAATATTGTTGAAAGCGGAGATTTTAGAACAGTGAGAAGACATGAATGGTCAGAAACAGAATCCATAGATATCAGACCAAGTCATTAAAATTTTCATTTTTTCTACTCTTTTGAGAATCTTGTCATAGTACTGGATGAGAGGGAAAAATTAGATTTGCAACACTTTATGGGCATATCATGGTGTATTGAAATACCGAATGAAATTAGCATAATATAAATTTATTGTTTATTAAATAGAATTCTATATTGTTGTAAGCCAGCTAAGTTGGAAACAAAGCAGTCATTTATATTGAATTTTATTTGCACACTTTTTTACTCTACCATCCAAAAATCGTTATTTATTTTAGAATAACTTTTGCTCAGAGAAAGGAGGATATTTTAGCTAATTTCTGACCAAAATTTTGCTCAATATTAGATATTGTATAATTGCATGAATATAAGAAATGATTTAATTCTCTGCAGTGAACCATTTTCAGATTATCCAGTCTCATTCATCTGGTGTTTTGGGTGGGACGTTGCTGGTATCTACCATTGATGGCTATCTCAAAGGAATTGACTTCCATAGTGGACGAGTAAAGTGGTCCTTGAAGGAAGGTATGACGCATTTTGTTGCACCATGATACTAACAGTTTGAAAAAGACTGATTCTCATATTATAATGTCCATGATATGAAGATGATAGGATATGCTTTTTTATTATTATTTGCAATAGATGAAAATGTAATGGAAAATATAACGTAAATCAGGATATGAAAAATAATTGATGAATTTCTGGTTCCATTTAAATCAGCGGATATTTTGACAAATATTTGTGAAATGACATTTTTCATTAATTAGTTTGGATTTCAGATCCGGTATTGACATCTCCAAAAACCATTCGGCATGGTTTTACCTTCATACCAGATCCGCAAGACGGTGGTTTATATATATTGAAAGATGGTCAATTAAAGAAGTTGCCCTATTCTATACCGCAACTTGTTTCTGCTTCACCTTGTCGAACTACGGATGGTGTTCTTTATGCAGGTTAAAAATGCAGTAGTTTAAAGATTTGCTCATTGCTGGCATTGTAGCTTTAAATCCTTCTATCAAGACATTTCGACAAAAATTTGAATTACTCGAAATAATTATTTTTGTTAACAAGTTGTTTAAGTGATTTCCTATATTTAATACACATTTTACAGGAAGCAAGAAAGATGTATGGTTGGAAATTGATTCAAATAAAGGAATAAAAATAGGGGAGTTATCGCAAGCAGAAATAGATTCTCAGTGCCCGTTTAACAGGAATACGAGTATTTTGATTGGAAGGTTGAGTATTTATTTGCCAGATTTTTTTCTTTATCTAATAAATCTTGCTTCTGTTGGCATTATTTTTAAATAGTTGAAATTGAATAAGAATTTCACTGAAAAATAATCGTTCACAAAGTGAAATAAAAAGGCAAACATAGATCAAATTTAGTGAGACCTTCGATCAACTAATTCCTGAATTCATTCTTTTTAGATCCGAATACAAATTGACAATGGTGGATCCAGAAAATCGGGATAGGCGATGGAATGCAACTTTTACCGATTATTCAAGTCATCTTGCGCCTGGTAAGTTGAAATTTATGAACATAAGGAGTGTGAATACATCTCGGAAGATCTTTAACATTAGCTTCAATTTTTTTTTTGGCTGACGAGTGTATGAAATCATTAAGTGAAATAAGCACATGGGAGGCAAATATTGGAAGAGTTCTTAAAAAATAAATATTCGAATTATAATGTCCGTGCGATGTATTGATGGGTTATAAATTATTTGGTATTTTGTGCGGAAAAGCATCATTTCATGTAAAGCAACCAACAGACGAATGTTGGCTATTTTCAGCTGACCCTTCATATCCATATCAACATTTTACAAGTAATGTGGGTGGTCAATTGCTAGCGGTAAATGCAGCAGAAGGAAGTGTAGCATGGGAAGTAGATGTAGGAAGTATCGTGGTTGCAATGTATTTACTTCAAAGCGATGGCTTACACAGGTTGCCATATACAGTTATTGGAAAGGAAACATTGGAAGAGTTCGTGAAGGTAATATTTCCAATAATATGAGGGGTAAACAGAGGGAATAAAATGAATAAGTAGCAGAGATTTTTCGACTGTTGTTATTAAAATGTTACAAAATGTTAGCCTGATAGAAAATCTATAGTATGATACCACGTATAGTCATGATATCAAACATATTGTAAAATCACTTAATTAATAATTACCAAAGCCTGAATTTGTCATACCAAAAATTTTTGATTTTATATTTTTCAAAACGCTAAAATCAGTAATGTCAGCTTCTCGATTATATATATTCATTGCTCATTTCTATGTGAGCTTTTTAGAATTTGCGGTCCCTAATGATAGATTTATTAGCTGATACATGACTCTCCCTTAATGTCCTTGAAATATATATTCCTCCACTAGTTTTTTATTTTCTTCTATTTTCTCTTCACCACTATTCTTCTCTTCGACTTATTACTCTTCCTGTTTTTGTGCACTTATTATGTTCTGAAAGCATTGAGATCGTTGAGTTTTTATTTGTACACTTTCAGTAAAATCATAGTAGTATTATAACAATAAAAAAATTATAAATTGATCTGTATGCGGGGAGTTTACCACACAAAAACCATAAATGTTGCACATATTTTTTCACACTGTCTCTTCCATACTTTAGAAATCTGTTTTCAAGAAAATCGTGTTGATCTCGTTCTAATTGCAGGATTAGTATTTGCATCTTGATGAGAGGATTTTGCTTATTTGAAATTATATTTTTAATTGGTTTAACTGCAAACTGTCATTAATGTAACGATGCACACGATGCTTTTTTTTATCATTTCATCTTTCTTTAGGTGTCATTTTTATGGTAAATATTTGATTTTCCATCACCTCATACCGAATTTTTCATTCCAATATTAATCGTTTTTCTCATCACTGCTAAATTCCAAACTTTCACTTTCTTTTTCTTCTTCCATTATTCCTTCCTCACCACTATGATTTATGTTATTATGCTCGTCTTCTCCGTTGGTATCATTGTATCCAAGTACTGGGAGATATAATCCACTGTGCTTTTTTCTCCTAACCATATAACCATGTTCAGGACATAGTGCGCTCATTAGCTGGAACGACTAATTTGTAGCAAAAAGAAAAATTTTTAAGGAATTAAGAATTTGTGTTAGTCATTTGATAATATTGATCTACCAATGTATAAAATATCATTGAAACTCTACTCAAATTATCCTTTGACTTTCTGCTATCACTGATTGATAGGAACAAGCTTTATTGTCTTTTATTGAAAAAGAAATCGTGACTAACTTGGATCTTCCCATCTTCACAAATACAATCACAAGGTAAGTCGACACCAGGTGGAAGATATTTCGATTTCTTATGTGACATTTTGACCTCATTTTCCATCATTTCCGGTTCTTTTTGACCTGATAATGTAAATAAACTGTCAACGGAAATGATTGCAGCTGTTGCAGTAATCTGCGCTTTGGATTAACATATTAATTCGGCTAAAATAGCTTACTTATTGATGACTCTGAGGAGATTTGTGGCCTGTCTGTTGCCCTTATTTTGATCACTTTTGTCCTGCTGGATGAAACAGTTGAAAGTGACGACAGAGATCGTTTTACACTTCTTGGATATACACTTGGTTGACATAAGTGCCCAATGGAAGAACTGAAAGTATATATATTAAATAGGGGAAATAATCATTTCAGCGATTGTAATCAAACTAATTATCTCTGAGTATTGCAGCTAATATTTGTCACTGTATGTCCAGAAATTTTTTTTTTGCGCTTATGACACAGTCTGTCTTCAATCTGTGCTAATATATATGTTATTTATATTATTATTTCTCTGAACCAAAAATGCTTCTTCTCTTATCAAGAAAACATTTTAGATCTGGCTGATCTGGGTTTTCAGTGGAGCCTGAGTTTGTTCATTTTCATTGAATCTAAACAGACTTGCCTTTTTCGCCTCTTAACATATGCTTGTACAGTATATACAATTAAGGCAATGATTTCCATTAAGCTGACAACTGACGCACCTATCCAAAGACCTGTGAGGCCACCCAAATCAGCTAAAGCACTTGTAAGCTGAAAATTCAATAAGTGTACTGTATATTGCATTTATTTGATTTCTCCAGTCTGCGGTCTCCAAACATACTGATTCCTTCGACTCTTTATTCTAATAAACTTTTTCCTCGGTTGTGAAATATTCCAGAATCTTTTCGAAGAAATTAGTAAGACCAATGGAGTACTGGTAATTAATGATTATTTAATCATGGTAATAAACTGTTTACAGTATAGGAAGGTGTTTCGGTAAGTGTTTCATAGTTCAGCTCTTCGTAAAAAACTTGAATCACTGCAGCATTTTTGCGGTACCGCTCCATACAGAGATCATCTACAGCATCACATTCCATCACTTTTGTCGTACCAGAAGGCCATCGAGCAGCTGAGTACGTGATGTCATAATTCACTTCCCTGTTTATAGATAAAAATTTGAAGTTGTCGTAGGTTTTCAGTGAAAAAAAAGTGTGATAACCATAGCAAGCTCTTCGCTGGATGCATTATTTGATTTATTAGTAAATACGTTTAAGAGATTCATTACAAAGTTTCTGATTAGGTTATTGGTCGGGATTTTACACATTTTGTTAACTGTTCGTTAGGTTTCTAATTTTGCTGTGAAGTATAGGTCTAAGCATCTTAACTACTTTACACATTAATGAGCATTAGAATTTTTAAAGAGATTAATTTTGTTTGCTAAATAATGCAGAGTTAGTCCAGTAAATCAATTTCTTTGAGCATAAATTGTTTCGCTCATTGCAGCATTGACTGCATTTTATATTTGACTATAAGTTGCAATGTGAGATATCCATCGTGCTTATCTACAATGATCACTTGAGATTTCCTTTTTAAATAACGATCAAGTTTTTAGAAGAATTACTTACGAACAAGGTTGATGGCACACACAGCTCGTTAGCTTTCCTTCGCTACTTAGACGACTGAGGTGTAATGTAGCATTTTTAATACATTCTCGAGCAATGTGATCACTAACTTTACATGATTTCGCCGTACTAGGCATCGGATAAGCTGGATTTGCACAACCACATGTGCGAATAACCTCTTTTTGGTTACAAGTTCGATGACATCCCTAAAATTTCAAAAAAAAAATCATCAAGTATTTCCAAAGATTAGAGAATTTATTGAGTGATTTGATTCTCACCTCAGTAGAGTAATTGTATCCGGAATATATGCTTTCTTGATTACTTTTACTATCTTCCAAACATTGACCATGTGGCGGGACAATTCTGTTGAATTTTTTCTAAATAATCTCTCTAGTTAGGCAGATCATATAAAATTTTAGATTACTTTGAAAAATTCTAAGGTTTTTGGATTGCAAAAAAAATTAAATTTTTGATTCAACTTTCCAAAAAATTTTATTTAATTTGTTCATGAATATTCTTGATACTATGACTGAAGGCTACGATGCGCACAACTTACCATTCGAACTCCAAATGAAGACAGAAATCCGGTTGGTGCATTGTAACCAAATGCATCTGGAAATGGCACCACCCATTTATCATGAACGGTGATCCGAAAACCTACTGCTTCTGATGTTGGCAAATATTCGGAAGTATCGGCATAGAGCAATACTCGCAAACCTAGCAGATTAATAATCTTGAGTTTAGTATTTTCCAATGATGTGGTAGTGCTTGAACTTTTTATGTAATATGAGCTATCTGCCTATTCTTTTAGACGATCCTGCCAAGCAGAAAAATTTCTGACACATAGAACTTCCAAGGATCAATCTGTAAAATTATTTTGAGAAAGGCAAGAGTTTTGCAATTAAAATTATTTGGTTGATAATGTACCAAAGTTAGCACCGGCCTGATGAGCTGTTACTTGTTCAGTACGATTCCAATTAAATGTGTAACAGTTGCCATATATTTGATCGTAATATAATTTAAAATCGCTGCAAATCAAATATATGAAAAATTGATCAATGATTATTTTACGAATGATTTCAATGTTAAAAATTGGAAAACTCAATCTTTGTCATTACATCACTCTTAGTTGTTTTTTGCCGTTTCTCTGAATTTTATCGAAATTAATTCACCTTTCAATGTTGCAGTCTCTTTGATTGAAAGAACATTTCAAGATGAGTTCATCTTTTCGTTGTGACATATTCACTTTCGCTCCATAATTCATTTCACCGACAGCAAACATCAAATTCTCTTTTGCTTGTTCTTTAATAGCTATTTCGTCAGTTAAACCCTGTAAAGAATGTCATGCGAAACATTACGAAAATGGAAATTTGTGTCATTTCTTACATTCTTATTTTTCTGTCTTTAATTTTTTCTTCATATATGGTTATGATTGCTATTAATTATTTCATTTTTTATTGGATCTCTTAGAGGACTTACCAGCTAAATTAAGTTACCAAGTAATATTTTCTAAGCGCGAGACTTTAGATAGTGATGAAGAATTGACATATGAAATTATTCAGCTGGATATTAAAGAAAATACGAGATTTTCATTACTTAATTTTTTAAAATACGATAAACGACAGACCTCAAAACCAAGCGCCTTTATAAGTTCTGCTGTTTGCGTATTAGTAACAGGAGTGGTGGTAATAGTGCGTGATTTTGTCGGTTTGATGAAGAATTTCGAGATGTTTAGTGCGAGAATATCCGTTGTTGGTTTAATTTCTAGAATAAAACCATATTCATTGTTTGCAATGCAGTGATTATATTCGCGATGGCACAAACATTCCTTCTGTCTGGGATGTCTTTGTTCCTTTCCGGCTTTTTCCTCAAAAAACTTCATCGGACAATGACCCAAATTTTCGAGACATTCTATGCATAGTCGTTCATTCCATGTTTTATCTGAATGTAAGCAAATATCTTAAAAGCATGGTAAAAAGTGTAACAGAGATGGGAAAAAAGCAGAAAGCTCAGATAGCTGTAAAAAAGTAAATTAAGATTTCTTTTTTTAAGTTGGGTACATATATTCTATAATATAAGTGTTAATGTAAAATTGAAGAGATTCTAAAAGAAATTCTAAAAGGAAAAATGGAATTTCTTCATATATAGATCGCATTTTTCAAATTAATTTAAATTCCATTATTTATTACAGACTTAATTATAAAATAATTCTGTTATATTTTACTTCGCTTACATGTAGCTACTGTGAAATAATCATATCATCTATGCAGCGCAAAAAATGTCATAAAGAATTAAGCTATCGAAGTTAAAGGATATACTGGAAAAAAAGTATATGCTGAGATATTTTTAATAGTCGCAAATCATAAACCGAAATAAATATTAAATGACAAATCGATTAAGGCAAGATATAGTTAAAGTGAAAGGAAGAAGCTTACGTGGAAAGCATGGCCAAAGAGTTTTGGATACCCAGTCCAGCTGACAAATACATTTACTGGGATAAAACCGTGCCAGAGCATCAGTGAATTGGATTGAAATATTTCCTTTATATGCAGCAAAGCAGCTTCCTTTTTTTCTTTCACCACTTATTCCATTAATTTCACACAGACATTGTACAGAAGCTTGATGATACCGTCGATTTAAGATTGATCTTTGTATTATCCTTGAAGATGCTGTTCTAACCTGTCGTGATTTTGCATCTGAAAAAAACGGATTATTATAAGAAGCTTCTTGATGAATATATTTGATTTTTTTTTGTAGTTAAAAGTGAAAATCCATTAATATTGATTTTAGATGATATATAAGATTTGAGTAGTAGGAGAAAATTTTCAGTTCGGAAGATGGCTTGTGATTTAGTTTTGATTAGAAGTATATCATTAATAAATGAACTGTTATTTATGGATAAAATAAGTACTACCGGATTTATTACAATCTAAAATAGAAATTGTACCGACAATTCTAGGTTGTTTTATCTTTTTTGTAGAACTATTGATTCAGCCGTTTATGATTGCTAAGTTTTATTAACAATTTTGACATACATCTGAAGAGGCATCATTTAGGAACTTTCTTCCTCCAAAGAACTGATGATCTATATCGATTTTTCTTTTTTTAATTAGGTTTGATCAATTTCTGTTAAACATTCTTTTGAGCGTAATAGTTTAAGAAATCCAAAAAATATTTCATGATGTTTCAAATTCGTTTTCAAGAAAACAGCTGTATTTCTTCCCCAGTTTTCTTCTTATATATCTTCGTTATAACAATTGTGGTGGAGAGGAAAATGAATAGGCAAAGTTGTGGAAATCAAAGAAGTGAAGTTGGATAAATTACGGAAATTCCAATTTTTTTTCGCATTTGTAATTTAAAATTATGACTATTTCAGCTTGTAAAAGTCAATTGTCTTCGAAAAAATTTGCCATTTATTTAATGTAAATTCCCGTCAGAAACAATTACTTGAAGCTTAGCGTAGCTTGTTATCATTAAATCTACAAATAATTATTTAAAAATGACTACAATCGAAAGGAATTAAAAAAATCTCAGCAGTAGTGAATACCACCTTGAAGAAAATTTAATGCAAGATTATCCTACCTTTCTTTCGAGCATTATTAGTTACGGCAGAAATACCATGTGATCCAAGATGATTTTGAACGTTTGAAAAAGCATCTATCTAAATAATAAAGAGTGCCGACAGTTAAATGTGATAATGAATTAGCCTAACAAGTGCCTCATGTTCAAAACTTGAAAGTGTCAATCAATAATACAATCCAAGAAATTAGAACAAAAGTTATGATTAAGCTTGTAAGCAAGACTGAGAAATACCATGGCTTTGGTAGGTCCTTCTTTCGCAATCATCGATGCTTTGTAAGGATTTAGATTGCACAGTGTTATCGAAGGAAATGGAGCATTTTCAAATTTGAGCTGAAATGCACATTTAAATTTTGATTTCCTTAATTTTGTTTATTTAAGTTATTTAGGTATAAGCAAATGGTATATTTTCATTTAATATTAAAGGGGATTTGAAATAGATCAAAGAAAAAGTTGCTCAGCCTTTATAAGAAGAAATGGTATGTGAATTGAAGAAAGCGTTAATTAACTGTTAATTGTTAATATGAATAAGCGAGAGAAACTGATGGTATCTTCGTCAGTTTCTTAAGAGATTAATTGGGAGTAAAGTAAGTGTTAAATTTATTTTAGCTATTAGTAATCATCTATTGAAGTTAACATCGAAGTTATTTTAAGGCAGCGTTGTTTTTCTTGGTATCCAGTTTGTGATTGCCTGTTTAAACAAACACACTATTCATTTCTTTCCTACTTTCTTTCTCCTGCTGATTTCAAATATATTCATTATTCATATTAAGCTATTCTTCATATTAGGCAGGTAAATAGTAAGAAGAAGTAATCGCTTACATCAAGATCAACCGATTTTGGATAAGTTCGATATCGTCGAATGAGCAGAATGATTTGAATGAGAAGAGCGCAAAAGCAAATAATAAATGCAGTATACCAAATGATACGCCATTTAGTGTTGGAAGCAAGAGCAGCATGTGATATACCATGGAATGTGCTTTGTCGCTCAAAACGAAGCACGATTTCTCGATAGTTGAGATGCCCTCGGATACGGATTTTTCCAAATCCTGAAAACCTCTTGTTCCTCCTGTTTTTTCTCTCTCTCTCCTTCATCCAACTCACTTCGACTCTTTCTTGGTCCTAAAAAGAACGAGAAAATAACCTTCGAATTCAATCTTCCGATAGGCTCATATCGTCGTTTTTGTTTTGTGTTATAATACTTTAGTGTTTTTTTTTTATTAAGTTTGAGGACTTTCGGATGGATCAATGAGTATGTGATATCAGAAAAAATCTATATTTTTATTTTTTACTAATTATACTATCTATGAACCTGCTCGATAATGTTTGATGAATCTTTCTAACATTTTCTACTCACGAATTAAGCAACGAATAGGAGATTTTGCACTGAGTGAATGGCAGAAAATGCAGATAATTGCCATTCCGTTGGATTTGAGTCTGATTCAATATTTATTTTTTATTTAAATTAAAAATCACTTAGATCAGTAAATGTTGTTTCTGCTGTAAATGACAATAACATCGATTACAACGCAAATATTATGTCTATAATGAAAGTAATGATGATGCTGATAATTTCGATACTAGTTTAAATTTAAGGAGTGATGATGATAATGATAACTAACTGGTGACGATAGTGATAACGGTAGTTATGAAATTGTGGCGGTAATCGGAACGTAATGCAGATGTAGTAAGGAGAGTAAGAGTTAGGTGGTTATAATAACCATACATATATACTATCTTATAGAAGTGATTAATGAAGTATTTGTATTGTATAGTTGATTCATATGTATTTTTTTAATTCAAATACAAAATAACTTGGATAGAATATCCATTAGAACATTAAATTAGAAATACAAATGCTGCTTTTTTTTTAAAATATTAACGTTCCATCCTTTCCTCTCTGACTCCTTCCGAAGTCTTTCATTTGAAGGATATCCTACAGAAATAGAAGTAAATATCTTCATCGTGAGTTTCCGTATCAATTATAAATCAATTATCTAGAGAAAACGATTTGAGAGTAAAATTGCTTTTGCAAAAATTTTAGAAATTGCAGGTTACAGGATTATGAGCCCTAAATATACCCCATTCAAAAAAATAAGATGAGAAGCTGAAAATTTGTGAAACAGTATTGTTTAATTATAGATAAAAGTTTCGATTTTTTCTTAAAAAAGTGATAAATTCTTTACTTTACTAGACGAACTGATTTTTTAGCGAAAACCGTGTTAGTACATCTACAGTTTCTTCAAATCATTACAGTGAAAAATTATTTTATTTGGTGTTTATGATATATGAGGAATGAGACTATTTACCGTTTGATATCCTAAGCATGCAATATTCTACTTAGGAAAAAGAATGAATAAATAGGTAACGAATGAAGTGACTGCTAGGCGCGATTATTCGAGAAAAGGCACAAGATAATGATGAATTGGTGGTGCTAATGGTGGAAATATAGTCCAAGCAGGATTTTGGAACACACAGACACACACATATATATATATATATATAATATCCACATACACATACACTCGCATATATTACTAGATATGCTTTTCCTTCATCCATTTGTTTTCACCTTCTACTAATTTTTTCGTATTTATTGCTTGGTTCACTTTTCTCACTGATTGATTAGTGATGAGAGATGTACTTTTTATTGTTGTGTTTGCCCACCGACATTAATATAGATTTTTTTGATATTTTTTAAATTGCCCAATAGCAACATTGGACTATTTACGAAAAAGAACCGTTTCCAGTTTTTGCAGAAATTTTGTTAATTGATATGTCAATTCAGAGAAGTTTTTAAAATTGAGTGCAGAATTTCTAGGTAGTAATATGTAGAAAATTATGTCGTAGCATGTTTTCAACAAGCTTCCGGATTTGATCATTTTCTACACATCATTTATGTTTTAAATATTAATTTTGAGGTAATATCCTGTTTACTTATTCTCATCCGATGGTAATGTTTGTTAGCTATCGAAACTGAGATCTAGCTTGGAAAATTTCTTGAATATATGTATATATACGGTTTTATTTTCATCCGTTTGGTTCCTTTAGCATCAGTAAGTTGGCATAGAATGCTTGCTTAATCATTGCTATTTGAAGAAATAACTATTCCATTGTTTAAATTTCCAAAAATATCTTTTATAATGAATGCTGCGTTGATAACATACCACTGCCTCTGGATATCCGTCTCAAATGATTCCAGGCCAGTTCTTTATAAACGGATTTTGATCGTCCAATCTTAAAGTTAACGCTCTCTCTTTGTTGTAACATTGATGAGTCCTGCAATATATAGTAATTATTTGCTAGCATTTTCTTCTTAATCTGTATCTTTACAAAAAAGTATGAAAAGATTATATATATATATATATAGCTTCGCAGGAAATCCAAGGACATGCTAAGTTAAAACTTAACAATAGCAACGATTGGATTGTGTAAGACATGCTAGTTATACTTATGAAGGAAAAACTGATAAAGCAATCAGACGTTTAAACTAGTGGACAGAATGGAACAACTTGGTGATACATCATAAGTACATGCTGAGATGCAGTATGGTGTATTGCATTTGCAGATGAGATTTGATCAAAAATTGACTGTAATGTTGTATGAAGCAGTTGAACATAGTTAGCTATATGTCATCATTTATCAGAAATAATGGATGGATAACGAAAATTTAACAGTATGGAAATCAAAGAGTTAGGGTACTGGGGCGAAGAAAAAGAAAGTAAGATTGATAAAGTGAAAAAAGTGAAGTGTGCTGATGAAATGCTTTTGGATCTGACAACTAACACCTTATCAGAAACTTGAGAAAGCCTGTCAGCTAAGATTCATAGAAAGAAATTTTCGTTAAACTTTTACATTTTACAACAAATCCATTAGAGAGAAGTATAAATGGTGAATTTATTTAAATTTTGGTTGGAACCATTTCCATTCTCATGCATTAATTTTACAATTTTCCATTTTGTATTTTTTTACGATTTACGACTCTTCGTGTTTTACTGGCTTAATTTCCCTAATTTATTTTTTGTTAGAGTTTAGTTTGACAAATTTTTTTTTCTGTTGAAAATTTTAATTAAAAGCTTTTAAATAGATTTTGAATTATTTCTAATCCAATAACGATTTAAATGGTGCAAATGCAAGAAACAAAATTTTTCGTTTTATGAAGTCTTTGCTGAGATGCCGTATTATATTCGATTGGAATAAATTAAAGTATTTGATTCAGTAGGTAATTCTTTGTTTTTAAGTAGCGAAGTTTATTTCTTAAATTGCAGAACCTCCAATTCATCAAACCATAATCGATCCAAAGTAGATAAGATAATTATGGTTTATCTTTGGGATGCAGAGATTTTATACATCATCCCATCTCAAAATAAAAAACTCTTGCAAAGACTTCATAAAACGAAAAATTTTGTCTCTTGCATTTGCACCATTTAAATCGTTATTGGATTAAAAATAATTCAAAATCTATTTAAAAGCTTTTAAGTATGTTTCATATTTCATTTCAAGCTAGTATCTACCTCTGTCTCTTAACAATTAAAATTAGTGCAAATATATAGAAAGAAGCAGGGTAAGATGATTATTATATTGGACAAAACAAGTTTTTAAAATTAGTAACAAACCTCCGTTTTCATTTAACTATGTATTTGATGCGTCTTTTGATTTCCTTCTCGCAAAGGCTCGTCAATTGCATTCCATGTATAAACTATAATTCGTTGAGGGATAAAGTGAATTTGCAATTCTCAATCATGGTCAGCAAATTTTACAAACTGAGTAAATATGATCCGCTGGGCAATTAAAATGAAATGTTATAGTGATATTACTGAAAATGGTTAGTTTGGTCAACTAATTCGATGAAAAGAAATGCGAATAGTACTAATGTAGTGAGGGGATAATAGTGTTATCAATTGGACAACTGAACGGATCTAACTTAGTTTTTTTTATCACACAAGTAGCAGCTGGAGAAGTTTAAGATTGAAATGCACAGCAGGACTAATTCGTTTGCTTAACACTCCTGGTGTTCACCGTTGTTTACATTATTGTCGGTGAGGAGAGAACGAAGATATGATCCCACAAAGAGGAAAATAATTGGTGAGAAAAGTCATCATTCAATTGATGTAGGAATTTTTTATACTTTCAAAAATTTCCTGTTGATCGATTAAAAATCAAAAAAGTTTTGGCCGGTTACAGTCAAAATATTGTATCAACCATACGTAGCTTAGAAAAAAGTATAAATCACTTGAATTTAAACGAAATGATTTGACGGCTGGTATCTCAATCTTGTTGTTACCTATGTTAGATATATCTTAAACCTGATTCTCAAATTTATCGAGTGTGCATTTCTGATATGAGCAATGATTATTTCTCTGAATAAGGAGCAATATTTTTAGTACTTCATAACAATGAACTTCTGATTTGCTTTAAATGTGAAGAAGTATACTTCTTCACATTTTTGGTTTTCTTATATTTTTTTGCTACTTAATTTTTACTATTATTACTTCAGACTCTTATCACACGTATTTCGGCAGAGTTTTAGAAGCTCATTACAAGTCCCAAATGTAAATTAAGATAGAACTCTTGAATTTTAGAATATGTAACATTGCTTTTATGAAATACTGTTACTTCTTGGTCAAGTAACCATTCTTTTTAGTTCCGGAAATTGATAATATCATGCATTTAATCATTTCCAGTTTTCCAACTTAATTTAAAGCAAAGAAGAGCCGAAGAATACGAGAGTTATTATAAAAATTTTGCTTCTTTTTATTTTTTTATAGACTTGAAATTTCTTTTTTTTTTACAAAAATTCAGTTTTCAAGGTTTAGGAACAATCAGACAGAAATATAGTTTTAGAAAAATATGAGTATACTTCTATAATTTTTTGTTATCATCTGCGAAAGGAAAATTTGAAATATAAGAATTTGACAATTCATTGTGTAGCCTTCATTAAAATTTATCATCTTTCGAAGCAATGGGAGGACTCGAAGAGAATTTGTATTACATTTGATTTGTATTAATTTGTTTTGTTTCATTATTCTTTGAGAATAAACGAAATGGTGTTTGACAATTGTTTGAAAAAAAGTGAATTACCAGAAAAAAAAGATCCACTTTGTCAATTAGCTTCATAAATCATTGTACAACCTTCTCGCCAGAAGTGAATTATAGTATAAAATATCTTAATCGAAGGAGCAGAACAATTAATCCGGTTAACTCACTAAGGGATAAGATATTTGAATATTCGAAAAGACATAAGCTTATGTGAATTAATCGCTTATGAAAGTTGCCTTGCTGTGAAATGAATGATATTTTAGCATTCACCGCAAAACGGAGTCCAAGAATGGATCGATGATGTTTACCAGGCACGGTCCGTTGAAGCCACTTCTCGAAACTTTTTCCAGACATTATATGTTGGTGAAAGCATTCACGGACTTTTTGCGTTACCAGCTTTTGTAAACAGTCATACGATAACAGTGGTACCAAAATATCTTGGTCCGCCGTTGCTGGAAGGTCCAACACCTATTGCAGTCGAGGTTTGCTGACCTTTTCGAATCTAAATTTTTTGTTTGGAAAAACAAAGTATAATTTAGTAAATTGGAAATTTGTTGATCTTTTTGGAATATACAGAAAATATAAGATAGGATTATCAAGAAAAGATCGTTTCCGCTGTCATACAAAATAGCTTTACTTTTCTTTTCAGAACGAATATCTACAGACACAAAACAATCCATCTACTCATCGTGTTGCTTTGATCAATTTGGATATAGCAAAAATTACCCATAAGACGGTCGATGGAGAATTCTTAGTATTGGGTGTGTGTTACAGATCAAATTATATGTAAACATTGAAAACGATGAAGTTAGTAGATTAATAAAGTCTCATTGACAGCTAATATTTTCGATCGACGAATATTCTGGATTGATCACATTTGCAAGTTGAATTTTTCTTCAGCGATTCACTCATTTTATTGCTAATTTTGTTTTCATTTTATTAATATTACTATAAATACGACAACTGTAAACTGCTAATTTCTTTCCTTTTGCAGGCTATCACGAACTACCTGAGTTGACGCAGTCACAACTTATTTCACAACGATTTACTCGCCAGCAACGATATCGTTCCATATCTTTCGTTTCGACAGACATGCAGTCTGATGAAGTTTTATTTTTCAAAAATTTGAAACAATTTAATTAATAGCAGAAGCGACATTGTCTGCGTTTTTTCCTTATTTGAAAATTTTTTTCTGTTTGCTATGGCGAATTCTGCAAGAAACATTGCGTAAATGAATTAACCAGAACATAGTCCTCAAATATTTTGTTTCTAGAAAAGTTAGAATACCTATATATAAACCGTTGTTAAATTTTACACCTTGTGGATATTTGTATTTTGGTTATTTAGGTATCCGTTCAGACTACCGACGATGAATATGCTTTGTGGAAGAGTAAGCAGTTGGTTTTAATCATTGTTATTTCATTTACCACACTGTTTGCTGTTGCTTGCTGGTTTTTTATGAAAAAGGTTTGTTTGGAATTGGCTTGTTTTGTTGGTACTTTATGTCTATTCGAATGTAAGATTAATAAAAGCCTGGGTAGTTTTTAAGCATGCGATGGCACATTTTCAAGAGCTATACTCAAAATTAGAAAGTTTTGTTCCATTCTGACAGAAAAGTTTACTGAAATTAAAAGGAAGAAGAATTTATATCTGTGGATGCCTTAGATAAAAGCCTTGATTCTTTATTCCTTGAAATATTTTTTGTATCAACAGATGTTTTGTTAATTATAGCATCAATAGTACTAAGTTGTATTGGACTACCGGCTCTTAATACTTGAGCACACCGCATATCATCGGCTATCTTTTTGCTATATCATTATGCATAAATATAGTTATAAGATAAATGATTGACAGTTTGAATATAAAGTATCATCGTGCTACTAATATTTTTTGTAATTTATTGAATAGCTTTTGGATGAGGTTCAGCATTTAGATGACAAAGTAGATTTCATTAAAATGATAATAAAAAAATTGCTGACAGAAGTCATGAAACTTTTTTGTGGTTTTCTAGTGGAATTTAAAGCAGTAGTTTCTTTTAAGCTAACTAAACGACATATTTTTCAAATCTTTATTCAAAACGATGAATAAATGCATATTAATGGAGAGAAAATGGTAAATGCACTCGCTTGAGCGCTGCACTTTGTGTGAAGAGAAGAGCGGTCCAATTACCGTTTAATCATTGACGTTATTTCTTCGCAACAATTTTTTTTTTTGGGGGGATTAATTTTATTTATTGAGAATTATTGTATTCGTAATATCTGACTGTTTAGCAACAATCTCGTGGTATTCCTACTTCTGATATTCGTTTTACTTTATTATTAGTTTGTGACGTCGTTATTTTCATCATATCAGAATGAATATTCTTTTTGCCAAAATTTATCTTCATCTTCGTCTTCTTTCTTATTTTTCTACCGCTTTCGGAGCAGATAGATTTTTAATTTGTGCAATATATTATTCATCATCAGTGGCTTCATTTTCGCATGTGATCTAAGTTGCATTCAGTGAATTTCCATTGGAATATTCGAAAAGCTCATTACAACTCCTAGAGTTCATTACAAGTTCAATTTTTGCATTTTACAGTTTTTTTAGTCTTCATCAATTAATATGTTTAATTTTTTGATCGAAAGTAATATATTAATTCGGGATTTGAAAGCTTAAATTGATCATCATTTTTACGTTAGAAAAAACTGAGTCGGTTTGTCTAACAGACTCTTATCATTTTCAAGATGCAAACAGCTGATCAGACTTATGAGCGAAAATTGTAAACAATCTTCAGTCGTGTTGATGTTTGTAAAGCATATAAGTTGAACAGTTAATTTCCGCGGCTAGATGGACTTACCGGTCTTAAGTAATTCTTGGAAAATAATGAAAAGATTGAAAAAACACTGTCATAATCGTTTGAACTGAAAGGTACCAAAAAACTGATTCTTTTAAATTTACACTGATTTCTTACAGGAGAGAGTCGAGACATTTGTTATTTTATATTCTTTCTGCCATAATACGTGCATACGGTTGATTTTTTTGGTATTTTCCTTTTTTTTTGATATTTTCTTATTATTAATAGGATTAAATATTTATAAATATTTTACACCGCAGATACCTTCCAATTCAACATTTTTATGGATTTAGTTGTTTGAGGATATCTTTGCGTCGTAGAATATCAAATTCTTTCTTCGGATTATTTCCTTTGCGATTTTCTTCCAATCAGTTTTCTCTTTTTCTGATTGTAAAATCTTAGCTGAATCCATTGACAAAATTTCTCCTCAATAGAGCTTTCGTTTGCAAATGCTTTACCATAGGATTTTCTCCAAATTTTCATGAGGACTGCAGGTATTATTTGATTGATTTTCACTTTAAGTTCATCACTGAAGTAGTTGTAAAAACTGATCCATAATTTTCTGAAATGAATGCCTAATCCCATATTGCTATATAAGATTTTCCTTTTCAGAAGGATAACAAGCAGTTGACTTTCTAAATATCGCTGATGAATTATTCTTCCATCGTTATTTTGCAAGTTGGCCATAATTCACGCCACTTTTAAAATGCAAAAAAAAAAAATTCAGTTTAGCTTTAGCTGTCAAAATGATAGCAAATAACTGATTTATTTAGTCATTATCGATGTTTTTTTTTAATAAAAGTTAGATTTTCTAGCGCGTTGAATAACATAGTTACTAATTGATATCTTTAATATGAGAGGATTTATCACCTTTCTTGTATCGTTCAAAACAAAAAGAAGATTAAAGTTATTGTCAATTTATAACAAATCTTTTCTTTCCTGCTGAATGGAAGTATTGAATGAACATGTTCCATTGGTTGATTAAATTATTGAAGCATTCTGCAGCAATATATTTTATAATTTATTCTCAATTGAAGACAATTTCATCATGTCTTTCCTTGTTGAGATTTCATTTAAATATCGTTGGAGTTGTTCAGTGGATAGTCAGTTTTTCAAGACATAATTTTTCTCGAATCTTAGTATCAGTGACCAGATTAAACAAATATAAATCTCACCGAAATAATACGGCGGTTCATTTACCAATTTCTATTTGTCTTTTTTACTTTTTGTACTTTATTTTATGATGAAGATTTAGAATCTTTATCGAGATTAAGTAAAAAACTACCAATTTAAAACATCATTTGAGCTACCGAGTATCACAAAAAAGTACAATCGTAACATCAGTTTTCAAGTGAATTGAAGTATGAGGATCCCGATGCACAATCATACTGCCACGACCATACTACTTTCTAATTCTTCGTAGCCAGTCTTTAAGATAGTTATTATTTACATTATTTGCAGTTACAAAATCATGAACAGGAGAAGTTACCGGAACAGCGAACGAACTGCGCGCAAACGTCGAAAAATTTTAGAAATTTTTGGTATGCACGGCAATTAGAGCGGCTACCGTATGGGTGGTTGCAAACTGGAAATATCATGTATAATCCTGAAGATCGCCTTGGTCATGGATGCGAAGGAACTGTTGTATTCAGGTTGAAGTTTTACCCACAAAATCTGTTCTATGATTTAATTCAAACATCTGATGAAAATCTTAATAACATGTTAGGTTTGGCAGACATTCTCCAATGCTTCTTATCTTTATCAGTCTCCAACAATCTTGATTGTAGTTTCTGGAAATATGATTCTTTCTGCTTCGGAACTGCTGCTAATTTCGCATGCTAGTGATATACCTGGGTGTTGCAAAATTAATAAAATATGGAACTTTTGAAGTCTCACATCTAAGTCAAACTTTGATTTACAGAGGTAAATTTGATGGTAGGGAAGTGGCTGTGAAACGGGTTATTGCCGACATTCAACTTGCAGATCGCGAAGTTGATCTTTTACGAGAAAGTGATACCCATCGAAATGTTATCAGATATTTCTGTATGGTTGGTATAATTTAAGTCCCATTTCTCTTTAATTATTTCCCATGTTAACATCCCAATTTCTTGATCGTAATTTCTCTAATTGTTCATATTTTTAGGAAGCTGACAGTAATTTTCGCTACATTGCACTGGAGTTATGTGATTACTCACTATTCGATTATGTGGAGAAGAAGGAAATTCGAGAGCAATGTCCCCTTATCCCCTTGGAAATACTGCATCAAGCAACTGAAGGACTTGCTTATCTTCACAGTATAAACATAGGTCTATTTCTATAATTTTTAAAATATTTTCTAAGATTTTAACACACATCTTTTATTCTTATAAGTCAGTTTTTTAAGAAAATAAGTTGTTTCTCGGCTCCTTCATTACTTCTGATTCATATGTTCATTCAATTGCTATTATTCCACATGCCTGATTAGTACTATTTTTTTGCCGAAACATTGATTCGATTACTTGTGATTACTTCCCTTCATAGAGGCGACGGAATTTCGAAATTTGATTTTGAGATGTTTCTGCAATTAATCTTAATTAATACTAATTTTAATTAGTATCTTTCTACAGTGCATCGTGACATGAAACCGCAAAATGTACTGTTATCAAGAGGTGGCAAGCAAGGGGCAGTACGAGCACTGATCTCAGATTTTGGCCTTTGTAAGAGACTTCAAGCAGGTCGTAATTCTTTATCACGAAGATCCGGTCTTATTGGTACTGACGGTTGGATTGCGCCAGAAGCTTTAATATCAGATACAAGTATTGTAAGTATTTTATTCAAAATTCTTTTTTTTTTAGTTATTATAGCATGCTATTTAATAGTTGAAATTTTCACCCAATTTAATGGCCAAATTCTTATTTACTTTTGCGAATTATTTTGAAAAATAAATGAACTTCGTTGCAGCATGCAATGAAGTTCATTTATTTTTTCTTTTATTAATACTTGAAGAAGTAGTCATGCCGCAGTGAAGGACAATTTTCAGTTAGAAATTTTTATGCAGGATATCAGTTCAGTTATAAAAATTGGAGATTGTAAAAAAAATCTGTCTTGCTTTTTTTAATGGCCATTTTTAATCAGTTGTGAAAATTTTGCTGCATAATAATTGTTGTATTTTATTCTTTAACGGTTTGATCCTGCAGTAAGGATGGTGTAATTTAAAATACTAAGCTTTTTTATATTCTTCATGTCGTATTATATCGCACTACAATTGTTCAATCAAAGCCTTATCATGGAATCAGCTAAGAAGTCTGTTATTAAAAGAAGTTGAACACTGATGAAATTCGTTGTGTACTTTTTCCATACTTTATAAAAACCTCAATCTATTTGTTTCTTCAATTTTTTTGACTTTTTAGACTTGTGCTGTTGATATCTTTTCTCTTGGTTGTATTTACTATTATGTATTAACAACTGGAAGTCATCCATTTGGAGATGCTTTGAAACGACAAGCAAATATCATGCAAGGAGAATATAGCTTAAAATTTCTGAGTACATCTGGTTTGTATTTTAATCTAGATACATGCCTTATTTAAAAGTTTATATCTGAAAGTTAAGCTAAAAATTTATAACTGCATTATTTTACCATTGAGGATACATTAATCGAATGATTTATCAGTTGGTCTATTCAAGATAAAATGTTGTATAAGTTTCCTATTTTCTCTTTTAAACGCCTTCTGAATGTAAGCTTATTAAATTTTTTCAACATTTTGTAGGTAATTTGATGGCAGTTACACTGATTGAAACGATGTTACGACGTGATCCACTGCTTCGTCCGATATCAGCTACTCTAGCACTACATCCATTTTTTTGGAACAAAGAACGTCAACTTAGGTTTTTTATGGTAAGCATTCCTAATATTCCTGATTAAATCATGCTCCCTTGTGAGATATTTATTGGATCATTTTGATTAAATTGAAGAATGCCGTATAAGATCATGATCCAAGCTATGAAGTCTTTACATGTTATCATTTGTTATCGGATAAATTATTCTTTGTAGCAATTTACATATCATAGCTGAATAAACATTATTAATTTGATGAAAAAAACAAGCCAAACTTTAGATCTTCCTAATTACAGTGAATTAATCAACAATCGAAATACTACTCTTTTCATTTGATGCTAGCAGTGGATTTATGAAGTTTCATTCTTTTTAGGATGTCAGCGATCGCATCGAAAAATTAAGCGAACATACTTTTTTATTACGTCGCATAGAAGAAAATGCTCGCTATGCTATTGGTTTTAATTGGCGTCTATCCATATGTCCTATCCTTGCAGCTGGTTCGTTTGTTTTCCATTTCGAGTTTCTAGGCGAAGTTTACAACTATCAGTAATCTGTGCGTGCAATGGCTATATTTTTATCTTCAAAAGCATGAATTGAATTAGAGTGGTGTTGATTACGTATTTTGATGGTATTTCAGATTCATTCCAAAATATTATTCAAATTCAAATGTTTAAATTTGTTCGCAAATACTCCTATTTGATCATATGTGTTTATGAAAACAACCGTTTTCGATGTTAAAAGTGACAGATTGATCATTTCCGATTCCCAAACTGCTTATTTTAGATTTACGTAAATTTCGAACCTACAAAGGCAGTAAAGTTCGGGATTTATTGCGAGCAATGCGAAACAAAAAACATCACTACCAGGAATTACCAAAAGAGGTGCAACAAACGCTTGGTCAAGTTCCTGATCAGTTTGTTACCTACTTCACAGATAGATTCCCACAGGTAAGACATGGTTATAGATTTTTTGATAATAAAGATTATTTTTGTAACTTGATATAAGATGTCAAAGAAATCCGAATTTTTCTGAAAAGGGAAAAGGAAATGGAACAATTAGATTTAATTCTTACTTCATGTAGAATTAAATCTAATTGTTCCATTTCCTCGATCTTCCAATTTGAAATAATTTTCACTTTATTGATTCTTTTTTATTCAAATCATATTTTTTCATTACCTTTCAGTTATTGCAACACACCTACGATGCAATGAGTTGTTGTGCTAACGAGCATGCCTTCGCTGGGTATTATTCTGAAGAAGCCCGAAAAAAGGCTGATGAATTGGCAGTTGAAATAGAGGAAAGTGAAATTAAAGAGTCTGAGGTTGAGAGCAAGGAGATAGAAATCGGGAATAAAGAGAGAGAAATCGTCGATGGTCCAGATGAAGATAATCAAAATGAACGAACCACAGTTAATGAATCCTTACAAGAAATGGAAACAGTTACGACAGACGATCTTGCAGTAGCTGTAGATAATTCTCGTCGGAACAGAAAACGCAAAAAACGTCTCAAACATCAGTGTTGATCTCGATTATCCTTTTTTCACTTTATAAGTTCACGATTCCATTAGCAGCTCGGCAAAGCCTTCCATTTGTAATATTTTATGAATATGTTTTCGAATTTTGATATTATTGTTGAATGAAATGTGGATTTGAGTTTGATAATCAGTTGTATCTGAATTATTCTCTAATATCATGATTCTCTAATCCATATCATAATTTATTCGATTTATTTCTCTAATTTATAATTACTGTTTATTTGACTTAATTTTCTAACATATTCAATGTAAAAATCATCATATGTCGGGGATATTAAAAAATAAAATAATATAACATTGAAATCATTTAAATCTGGAGTTTATAATCAATTATATGGAATGTATTTTCGTGTAATCATAAAAATTAATATGTCATTCATTTTTAGGTATACTTCATTGCTAAATCGATTCGTTTTTAAATATTTAGTTCTGATTACGAATAATCTGTATGCTTATTGTAGTTCATTCTATGGACAGTGCGTAGTTATCTACTGATTGCGAATATTATCTTCTATAAACGGACGATTGATCAAATGTTTGAATAATTTATTGTTTCTCTCTTTTTTTTGGTGTACATGATCTTAAATTATCTTTAACAATTTCTCTTTTGCATGTTTATTCATATGGCTTTATTTTGTTTGTGCCTTTTTTCAATAACTTTTGTTTTATCTTTTAAAATGATTAATATGAATTATCCAAATTCATATCAAAATATTGCAATATTGTTAGGTAGTAATAAGTGATTTCACCTTTTACTAAATTAAATGGGATCAACAATTCTTTCTAATCAATAAAATCAAATTTTTTTTTTTTTATAAAAAGCTCAAATTCTCTTCTACTCTCAGGACTATATTTTGATTCGTTTTTTTATGCATACAAGTTGTTTTTCAAAAATTGTTATTTACTAATGAAAATCGGAAGGTTGGAAATTTTTGGAAGCTGAAGGGCTATACTTATTGCGAATAATGTAACCCATCATGCTTATGACTGAATTTAATCATTCCACAAATTCTAATAATTTTTATATGTTTGGATTGATTCGCTTGAATGCTCGGTTAATTGCAAGAGAGTTTTAATCGGTTAGTAGGATTCTAAGTTCTTACAGGATTTAGCGGGTCTTGAGCTTTCTTTCAAATTTTCTGTGAATTTTCCCTTTGATTTTGCTTTTCACTTATTTGTGGATAATGTTATGTCGAATAATGATTTCTAAGGATTGCCAATTATTAATTTGAAATTTTGGTTAAATTTTTTATTTGATCGAAAATGTGCGTGATTTGATTGATTTCTAAGGTCGAGTAATTTTGAGAGGCACTAATTTTGAAACTGAAAAAAAAAATCACATTTTCAAAAAAATATTGACTCATAATAGCCTTTTTAAATTTGTGATTTGATTACGAATACTGTCTTTTTATGTTATTCCGGCTGAATTGTTGTTTTGAATTGTGCACATTTATTTATAAGAAAAGTCATACAAATGTTGTACATATTTTGCTTATGTTTTCGAGAAGTTTTATGAAAATTGAATTGAATGGGACGTTTAAATTGAGCAGTAATGAAATAGGCGCTGGCACGTGTCACATCAAATGTATACAGCATATTATTTACGCTTTGCCTATGATATTTTTTGTTTGACAATCTAATAAGCTTTCAATAAAAAATTCCAAGGGAAGGATGAGTGTTTTGTCTACTTATATCGACGGGCTTTGTAAATTTAATAGCTAATGATGCTTGATTGCAATCACATTTAAAAAATATATATTCGATTAAATTTGTAAAAGAGAATTACTTTTCATTCTATATAAGGTAAATGAAATGAAATCTATGCTTTATGAAAAATAATTAATTTTCAGTGCGGTTCACTACAGATTAAGTATGAGATATTATGGATTGCTTGGCTATAAACAACATAATGCAAGCTTACTTATTTAATTTTTTTAATGTTAATGTAATGAATTTCATTGATTGTTTTAGATTTTTTGCATAATGTATCTTTTTTCTATTTTCTTTTTCCTTGTCCACAATTGACACATTCATGATTGCTTCTAGCAAACGAGAAATATAACATACTACATGCTAACATATCCAATATCAGAGTCAAAATCAATAACTCTTTATTAGCAATTCAAAAAAAAATGCAGTCAACGGCATTAAATTAATGAATATCACATTATTATAACACCCTCTGCAACATCCAAATAAGTTATAGCGTAAAATTACTTCATAACAGATCGACCCCTTGCATCTCTATTAATTTTATTCCCATAGAAAACATAACCGTTACCGATCATTACAGAGATCTATTACTGCACGATCTCATCGATCCTCCAGCACTTCACTCTATACCAAAATAGACCTCAACAATTCATCTAGTGTTAGGTATTCGGCTATTTCTAAGCATTCCATAAACAAGCACATTTGCATTTCTTCCTATCTCCAAGCACAAGATTTTTTTTGTACTAATGTATCCTAATGAATTTCACCAATACAAAAAAGTTGCACTCTGTGAAAAAAATACCAGCCTCTCGCACCAATTTATGTTCCAGAATGTCTTTAACATTTTACAAAAGACTAGATTTTAATTTCAAATTGCTCTAGGATCATAATTATTGCTCTTCCAATTTTCCACATAATGTAATATTTTTCAAGTTAAAACTTTGCACAATCTACTAGGAATCATAATTCTAGCCATAATTTATTAAGCACAACAAAAATATTTCTTGTTATGACTTTTTAAAGTAGCATATTATACTGTTGAAAGCGAAAAATAAGTAACAAGACATAAATGCAACAATGTAAAAACACGAGAAGTTGATAATTGAAATACTGAAACTGTTCCATTTTTTTTTTCGCAAATTTGATCACCTTCTTCTTATTCTTCCTGTTCAATGTATTCCGATTCACCTTCTTGAAGATCACCTTCTTCATCAGCCGTTGCATCCTGATACTGCTGATACTCAGAAACTAAGTCATTCATGTTACTCTCCGCTTCCGTAAATTCCATTTCATCCATACCTTCTCCAGTGTACCAGTGCAAGAATGCTTTACGTCGGAACATAGCTGAAAAAGAAATTGTATCAACCTAGTTGTCCTTTTCAGAGTGCAGGTTTGAGCTTTCAAGTAAATATATTAAGTGATAAACCATAACTTCCGCATAAATAAATTACATTGTTAAAACATCTGACAACACTAACTCATATCCATCATTTATCGTTTCCCAAATTAGGTAAAAATTTAGATTTTGGCTCCTAAAGTAAACTCATAACAAAACCACTTCACCAGTGAACTGTTCAGAAATGCGCTTGAAAAGTTCTTGTATTGCTGTTGTATTTCCGATAAATGTTGCGCTCATCTTCAGTCCACGTGGTGGAATATCGCAAACTGCTGTTTTTACGTTATTTGGAATCCATTCAACGAAGTATGATGAATTCTTATTTTGTACTTGCATCATCTGCTCATCTACTTCCTAAAAGCTCACCAGAAATTTTTAACAAAGAAATCAAGCTTCAGAGAAAAAAAAAATTTCTTAGACCAGAAAGAAGCTTCCATCAAAAAACAGTAAACTGTTACGGCCAAAAACAAAGAGAAACATCACATAGATGGAAATCTGCTATGCTTCATCAGTTCAATGGTTATCAAAATGCATTTACCCGCATCGACATTCTACCTCGGAACATTGCAGCTACAGTTAAGTAACGACCATGACGTGGATCACACGCTGCCATCATATTTTTGGCGTCAAACATCTAAAAAAATATACCACCCAGATTGAGTAGTATTGTTCGAGGCATGCATTTGATAAGAAATGTGCAGAGAGATTGCAGATGGATTATATCCACGTCTTAAAAAAAAGAATAGCAAATTCATGTTTGTAATCTTGATAAAAAAAGATACCTGCTGAGTAAGCTCAGCAACATTGAGGGCGCGATAAGCAGCAGCACCACGTGCAGATAGAGGAGCAAATCCTGGCATGAAGAAATGCAACCGTGGGAATGGTACCATATTAACGGCAAGCTTACGAAGATCTGCATTTAATTGTCCAGGGAAACGCAAGCACGTTGTTACTCCGGACATTGTCACAGACACTAAATAAAAGATGACCTTCACACCAGCTCATTAGATCGCAATTTATATTTGAACTTTTTAATGTTACGAATTTAAAGAATACGTGGAAGGACAAACCTAAGTGGTTGAGATCACCGTAAGTTGGATTCGTCAGCTTCAGCGTTCGAAAGCAGATATCATATAAAGCCTCGTTATCAATGCAGAAGGTTTCGTCAGTGTTTTCAACCAACTGATGCACTGATAACGTTGCATTGTAAGGTTCCAACACAACATCTGACACCTTGAAAGTATTAATCGTCTAATATGCTGTTCAAATTTTTCCTTCAGTTATAAATTTTAAAACGAAGTGAGAAGATAGGGAAGACAAACCCTCCTAAACAGTATCCCGAACTTATGGAACTATGTTTGAAATAGATAAAACGATAGCTACAAAATTAAGTTGAAGAAGTAGAATTCAAAGTACCATACTTTAGGCGATGGTACAACCGAAAAAGAGCTCATGATTCGATCTGGATATTCCTCACGGATTTTCGAGATCAATAAAGTTCCCATACCGGAACCGGTGCCACCGCCGAGTGAGTGCGTCAGTTGAAATCCCTGAAAATACTTACTAAAGTTTTTGTCTTTACATTAGGTTATCTGAGAAATGGAATTGCCCAAAACATATTTATAGTTAAAATGCATCATAGAACTGTCACAGTCCGTAAACTGCACCTGAAGACAGTCGCATCCTTCAGCCTCTTTTCGTATCACGTCCAATACGTTGTCAACCAATTCTGCACCCTCCGTGTAATGTCCCTTAGCCCAGTTGTTGCCAGCTCCACTTTGTCCAAAAACAAAATTATCCGGTCGGAACAACTGGCCAAATCCACCTCCCCTAATAGAATCCATGGTACCTGGCTCCAGATCGACAAGGATTGCTCGTG